AAGGATTTCTCTCGAGTGAGCCAATTGCTAACTTTGCTCACTAGTTGCACAAATAACTATTATCTATGATAGTATTTTACTGAATTATCATGTAATTTTAAAATACAGAATAATTTAAAAGTATTAAATTTTTACAATATTTATGTTAATTAATTATAAAAAATTAAAAGGGGGAATTATTTTATCATCAATTTTTTGTTTGCACCATCCAAGGCCGGCTATGGTGTTTACAGTTGAAATCTATTTAAACTTCGATATCTATCTCCACTGATTTGACAGAATTTTTTAAAAGAAGAATCGTCTTTATTTCCTTATATAACGTATCTATTAAATTTTGAAGTAATACAAATTTTATATAAAATTCTTTTCAACCCATTTTTAATGTCTTAAAAACAAATCATTTATTATGTTGAATAGTTGCTAAGGCTTAAAGTTAAAGAAAAACATTTATAAAAAACATGCAAAATTTAAATTTCCATGTTATTTATACATTACCTACGTAGAATAATTAAACCGTTGCAGTTTGCTTGTTTATGAACACATTTGTATAAAATTTGGCAAATAAATTTATTTAGTAATAATCTATTAACATTTTACAAAAAAAATTACCCTTCGTTGTAGAAACTCGCGTGATAACTCATTAAACTTAGGTTATTATTTAACTTCGGAATAAACATGACTATTTAAGGAGATATTTTGATGAAAATCCAATCGAGCAAATAGAAATTCACTTATTCCGCTGGTTTTCTGTGGCTGGGGTATCTTGTTACTTCAGTTATACTACTTAAAACATTGATTAAGCAAATAAAATTATCCAACTATTGTAATACAGTGGAACAGTAAAGCGCTACTCATAAAACTCACACAGAAAAATAAAATAATACATTGTCGACTTAAGCGTACAGTGACACTAACGTCTTGAAACAAACATAAAAAATCGTTTTACAATAGGATGAAAAGTCTATAAGCTAATCGGCACAATAAATTCGGACACCTAGACTAAAATCTAAAACTACAAATGAAATTATTTGATCCAGAGGAATCATGGATCAGAGTTTCGGTAAAACTTTACAGTATAATGGAACAAATTAGATATTATTCTAGTTAGTTGTTTTTTTATCTTTATGTTTTCCAACATGTTTTGCTTACGTTTATAGTTTAAGGTTGTGTAAATAGATTATTTTCATACACGATATGTTTATAAAGTAAATAAAATAGCTTATTTAAATTTTTATCTTTTTGAAAAGGCAGTTTCATTTTGTTTCCCTTTCGTTAAGGTTACCTCTCCTCAGATTATACCTCAGATTTCTCCACAGATAATTGACTTGATTACCTCAATCATATTCATAAATATTATATACTACGATGTATTTTACAATTGGAATAGCTCAAAGTTGTTGTGATGTGCATAGAAAAAATATAATGCATTCTTATTTGTTGCAAGTTCCTATCAACCAAATACATTTTGCCATATAACTTGGTAATTTAGGGGACTGCCTCAATCACACTCATACTGATTATTCTACACATTGTATATTAACATTAGAATACCTCAAAGTTGATGTGATGGACTTAGGAAAAAGATTTTGCACTTTTCCCGATGCGAGTTCCTATCAACTATATACATTTTGCCATATAACTTCGTAATTTACAGGACTGCCGCAATCATACTCATACTGATTATTCTACACATTGTATATTACCATTATAATACCTCAAAGTTAATGTGATGGGCTCAGGAAAAAGATTGTGCACTTTTCCTGATGCGAGTTCCTATCAACCATATACATTTTGCCATATAACTTGGTAATTAAGGGGACTGCCTCAATCATATTTATACTGACTATTCTACACATTGTATATTACCATTAGATTACCTCAAAATTGATGCGATAGGCTTAGGAAAAATATTGTGCACTTTTCCTGACGCAAATTCCTATCAACCATATACATTTTGCCATACAACTTGGTAATTTAGAGGACTGCCTCAATCATACTTATACAGATTATTCTACACATTGTATATTACCATTAGAATACCTCAAAGTTGATGTGATGGACTTAGGAAAAAGATTGTGCACTTTTTCCTGATGCGAGTTCCTATCAACCATATACATTTTGCTATATAACTTGGTAATTAAGGGGACTGCCTCAATCATATTTATACTGACTATTCTACACATTGTATATTACAATTAGATTACCACAAAATTGATGTGATAGGCTTAGGAAAAATATTGTGCACTTTTCCTGACGCAAATTCCTATAAACCATATAGATTTTGCCTTATAGCTTCGTAATTCACAGGACTGCCGCAATTATACTCATACTGATTATTCTATACATTGTATATTAGTATTAGAATACCTCAAAGTTGATGTGATGGGCTTAAGAAAAAGATTGTGCACTTTTCCTGACGCAAATTCCTATCAACCATATACATTTTGCCATATAACTTCGTAATTCACTGGACTGCCGCAATCATACTCATACTGATTATTCTAAACATTGTATATTACCATTAGAATACCTCAAAGTTGATGTGATGGGCTTAGGAAAAAGATTGTGCACTTTTCCTGACGCAAATTCCTATCAACTATATAGATTTTGCCTTATAGCTTCGTAATTCACAGGACTGCCGCAATCATACTCATACTGATTATCATAAACATTGTATATTACCATTAGAATACCTCAAAGTTGATGTGATGGGCTTAGGAAAAAGATTGTGCACTTTTCCTGACGCAAATTCCTATAAACCATACAGATTTTGCCTTATAGCTTCGTAATTCACAGGACTGCCGCAATTATACTCAAACTGATTATTCTATACATTGTATATTAGCATTAGAATACCTCAAAGTTGATGTGATGGGCTTAGGAAAAAGATTGTGCACTTTTCCTGACGCAAATTCCTATAAACCATATAGATTTTGCCTTATAGCGTCGTAATTCACAGGACTGCCGCAATTATACTCATTCTGATTAGTCTATACATTGTATATTAGCATTAGAATACCTCAAAGTTAATGTGATTGGTTTAGGAAAAAGATTGTGCACTTTTCCTGGCGCAAATTCCTATCAACCATATAGATTTTGCCATATAACTTCGTAATTGACTGGACTGCCGCAATCATACTCATACTGATTATTCTACACATTGTATATTACCATTAGAATATCTCAAAATTGATGTGATGGGCTTAGGAAAAAGATTGTGCACTTTTCCTGACGCAAATTCCTATCAACCATATAGATTTTGCCTTATACCTTCGTAATTCACTGGACTGCCGCAATCATACTCATACTGATTATTCAATAAATTGTATATTAGCATTAGAATACCTCAAAGTTGATGTGATGGGCTTAGGAAAAAGATTGTGCACTTTTCCTGATGCGAGTTCCTATCAACCATATACATTTTGCCATATAACTTCGTAATTCACTGGACTGCCGCAATCATACTCATACTGATTATTCTAAACATTGTATATTACCATTAGAATACCTCAAAGTTGATGTGATGGGCTTAGGAAAAAGATTGTGCACTTTTCCTGACGCAAATTCCTATCAACCATATAGATTTTGCCTTATAGCTTCGTAATTCACTGGACTGCCGCAATCATACTCATACTGATTATTCTATACATTGTATATTAGCATTAGAATACCTCAAAGTTGATGTGATGGGCTTAGGAAAAAGATTGTGCACTTTTCCTTACGCAAATTCCTATCAACCATATAGATTTTGTTATATAACTTCGTAATTCACTGGACTGCCGCAATCATACTCATACTGATTATTCTAAACATTGTATATTACCATTAGAATACCTCAAAGTTGATGTGATGGGCTTAGGAAAGAGATTGTGCACTTTTCCTGACGCAAATTCCTATCAACCACATAGATTTTGCCTTATAGCTTCGTAATTCACAGGACTGCCGCAATCATACTCATACTGATTATTCTATACATTGTATATTAGCATTAGAATACCTCAAAGTTGATGTGATGGGCTTGGGAAAAAGATTGTGCACTTTTCCTGATGCGAGTTCCTATCAACCATATAGATTTTGCCATATAACTTCGTAATTCACTGGACTGCCGCAATCATACTCATACTGATTATTCTAAACATTGTATATTACCATTAGAATACCTCAAAGTTGATGTGATGGGCTTAGGAAAAAGATTGTGCACTTTTCCTGACGCAAATTCTTATCAACCATATAGATTTTGCCTTATAGCTTCGTAATTCACTGGACTGCCTCAATCATATTTATACTGAGTATTCTACATATTGTATATTACCAATAGAATACATCAAAGTTGATGTGATGGGCTTAGGAAAATGATTGTGCACTTTTCCTGATGCGAGTTCCTATCAACCATATACATTTTGCCATATAGCTTCGTAATTCACTGGACTGCCTCAATCATATGTATACTGAGTATTCTACACATTGTATATTACCATTAGAATACATCAAAGTTGATGTGATGGGCTTAGGAAAAAGATTGTGCACTTTTTCCTTATGCGAGTTCCTATCAACCATATAGATTTTGCCTTATAGCTTCGTAATTCACTGGACTGCCTCAATCATATTTATACTGAGTATTCTACACATTGTGTATTACCATTAGAATAGCTCAAAGTTGATGTGATGGGCTTGGGAAAAAAGATTATGCACTTTTTATGTTCGGAGTTTTAATTGTTCGCGTTATGTTAAGCCTTAGCTACGTATAATGTACAGTACGGTCTCAAATATGCCTTTTAAAATACGTCAATTAATTAGTTTTAACTTGTATACACGTTTTATCAATGTATTATTGACATTATATAAATATAAAAACATCATTTCGCATCGTATTGTCATTGATTTGTGTTTCCGACATCCCTGCAAAACACGTTTGTGGCGTCCGCAGGCGTACCAACCCACATCTATTACAAACCGAAAAAGCGCCGATGAAAAGAGCCGCTAACTTCACGACGGTAGATCCAAGATCCAAGATCCAATCATAAACGAAAACGAGTAAACAAACGTCAATGTCGTCAATGGACATGGTGGAGGTCTGTCTGTCCCATTGCCGGTACAACTTATTTATATTTTGGTTTTAAATTTTAGGTCCATCAAATTAATTTTCACCGTACAGACACTGTGCGGGATAGCAATTTAGAGTTCCCAACAAAATATTTTGATCATGGAAGAATCTGACGATTACAATATGCAAACAACTGTGAGTACCTATGTTGCCGAAACCAGGTATAATTTAACCTATAAAGACCTAGGCTACACCTTATAACCTAGATTTGATTTAAATTAATGTTATTTAAATCGGAATAAATTGCTTATAATAAGTTATTGGCAGAGGATAAACCGGACGCGGATTAGGCGTCCGGCAGACTGTCATAACCTAACCTAACTAACCAAACTTGCTGATAATGATAAAATGAATGAAGGTTAGGGCCTAGGGCCTAAATCTTAGGCTATATATTAAAAAAATTTTGTTTTTCTTTTCTGAATTCGTTTGGCTCTTCTACCTGATCGATTTGAATGATTTAGGGCTCAAATTGAAGGTATGCACGCACAGATTTGCCATCAAGCATCGGCATATATTTATCTATAATCCTACTCGGCTTATACTTAAACCAAATTTGCTCTCCATGTATTTCTTATGGGACTATGGGAGTTATATTTGGTTTTTCTTTTCCGAGTTCGTTTGGCTCTTCTACCCGACCGATTTTCTCGATTGAGATCTCAAATTGAAGGTAAACTTATTCACTCAAAAAGTTGCCATCAAACATTGACATTGGGTGTGTTGCTAGCCTAGTGGTTAGCGTCTCGGACTTCGGTGCGGGAGGGACGGGTTCAATCCCCGGCACATCCACAAAACTTTAATGGGTTTGGACCGCTTTCCCTTAAAAAGTGTTTGACATCATTACAAAAAATGCCACCTTTGGCGTAGAAACGAGAAAAAAAAATAAATAAAAATATATTTATCTATAATCCCACTCGGCTTATAAGTTACGTAAATGAAATTTGCTCCCCATGTATTTCATATGGGAGTTAAATTTGGTTTCTCTTTTACGAGTTCATTTGGCTCTTCTTCCCGGTTGATTTTCATGATTGAGGTCTCAAATTGTAGGCATGCACGCTAAGATTTCACATCAAGCATCGACATATACCTACCTAATGTATTAGGCCTACTCGACCAAAAAAACATTATTTGATTCATTTTTGAATTCTTACTTCAATTTAAGATGTATTTCACCAGTTATAATTACATAATCCTATATATTTCGGACAAATATCCTTCAGTGCATTTAATACCGGCTTGCATTTAAGCACTTACCGGTAACTAGTTATTTGAATCGTACAAGTTTCAAACAAACGCAAGGTGAACAACCAACATAAAATTTTTTTTCATAAATTTTTTCTATGATTAAAAATCAATAGCTCCAGTACTGTTCATGTTTTTTTTATATGTCTTAGACTTAATATAACCAATAAATTATATTATAGGTTTTAATTTGAGCTAGGCCTATTGATTGTTTAAATCAGTTAAGCCCAAGATACTGTATTTTTCCACCTCCCCTCTTAGCGTTAGTAATTAATTCAGTTTTGATTATTTTCATTTCCTGGTTCTTGGTTTTTAATGTACATAATGATGCAAGATATGCAGATTTGTTAATTATTAATTTAAGATAGATTTAGTTGACGCCATTCAATGTACAAAACTGTACTTTATGAATAAATAAAATATAGTAAAAATTGTTTTAAATTAGGCCTAGATACTGAAATTCACGGTTTTAAGCTATTTAGTTATGTAAATACTGTACAGTACGGTATTACATCCCTAAATAGCTAAATACTCAAGCTTTTAAGTTAAAGTAGGCATTATGTTAAATAATAAGATACCTAGCAGCTGAATCATAGTCTTGAAGATCCTCTAATACAAGGGTTTTGAACCATAAGGTACATTTTCAAGGTGACCAAGTAGTTGTAGAAATCTTCTTCATCCCTAGGGTTGAGATCAGACTTCATACCAGAGTGTGAAGACAGGGCCTGACAAAGACAGCATGAGTGGGAGGGGGCTGGCACGTCACTCTCCAGTAACAGTGCATGCTTAGTCATGCTCACCTTCTGCTGGCCACACCATGCATCTGTCTATCAGTATTACAATTTGGGCCGTGTTTTATGATGACTCTTCATAATCCCAGGGACGAAGAGGATTTTCCCATCAGCTAAGTCAGCTTGGAAATGATCCTTTAGGTTTAAAACCTCAGTAGCTAAAAAAAAAGGATCAATGACAGCACAAAAGGTACAGTACACTCTCAGTAATCCGGCAGATATAGGACCGTGATACTACCGGATAAGTGAAAATGCCGGATTAGGTACTGGAATGTCATCAATAAAAACACTTAATATGCACAATTGTACAAAACCGTGTTTGCGCATGACGATGATGACTATTCTGTGATCCTGGGAGTTGATGATGATGTTTAGCGGGGAGAGATGATCAGAATTTTTTTGCGATCGCAAAAGACGAGTATGATGTCTGTGTAGCCAAAAAATGCTAATGAATTTGCCGCAATTGCGGAAGACGATAATGATGTTTCCGTTACCGTAAAGTACGGTATCCTAAATACAGTCTTGACTCAACCTGAAGCCCCAACACACCCGGCAAAAGATGTCGGATTACCTGATTAGTTGAGCAGGGCCGGATTATTGAGGGTCTACTTTGTTTAAATTTTTAATTTGTAAAAAAATGTTACATTGATTGGTTTATTGAACTCATACAACGCAATTTGTGTCTGTCTAGTTACTACCAGAGAAAACCTTTGAGGAGGCTGGAATATCTGCACAGTGGGCTGGTGTCAATCATATTGGAGTCCACACATTCAAAAAGCCCCCCTGTAAAGGTAAAAACCACTAAATTCGAAGAATATTGATAGTTCTAGGTCATAGTATCAATAAAATACCCCCGCCGCAGCAAACCTGCAGACTAAGTGAATTTCCATTTGCTTGATTGGATTTACACTAAAATGTCCATTTAAAAATATAACATTTTATTCCCTATTTAAATAGAATTAGTTTAACAAGTACTTAGGTTTGCTGCATGAGGGAGGGTAAAATATATATTTTTTTAAATGTTTTATTAACATTTTATTATTATTTAAAAAAAAATAATAAAATGTTATTTCTATGTTCTATGTTATGGTTATTTCTAAAAATAAGTTGAAACTGTACCTTTTACCGATAGTAAAGCTACCTACTAAATGTTATTGAAGTTAGTAAGACTTGTCTAGACTCTACCCTACCCACTTAACTGAATTAGAACAGTAGTGTACATGTTATAGACATAATTTCAGCCATTTACTATGTTACACCAGAAACAGATTGATTGTGAAAAATGTTCGTCTTTTTTTCTGTTAAGGGCCAAAAAAACATTATATTTTTTTAACTCTAAGAAGAACCTTTATTAACTGTCACCCTTAGCACTGGGAGCTTGACGGTTAACCAAATAGACGGATAGCAGAAATCCTGTTATAAACCTGTAGGCTACCATAAGTTGATTTAAAAGGTTTTTGTTTTTGGAAGAAATTAAACCCCCAACAAGTGAATAATACCTATTTATATTAAAATTACTTATATACAATTTGAGTAGTAAGGAATTATTATTTTGTTTGTTGCACTTGTTCAATGTTTGTACCTAGTGAATAAAATCACATTTGAAAAAAATCTTAGCAGCCCATTGTAGCAGGGTGAGGGATAACAGAGAGTGATGGTTAACACGAGTCCCATTGGCGGGGCAGTCGGAAATGTGACGCAGCTTCGGCGCGCCACTAAAATTATATTTTAGTCTTGACAGTGGCAAAAAAATGGCGGTAATGGTTCTGTCTTACCCCGAGAGTGGACGTAGTTGACTGAAAAACTCACATACAGCAGCACTGCCTGGATCTGTAGCCAGTGTCTTTGTAATGTGGCTTGAAGAGAGAAAATCACTGAAAACGGGGCAAAAAGCGTTGGACAGGATTTTACGGGAAATTTTACTACCAACCTAAATTCAATCTACACCAAATTAAAGTATAGGACCAGCACAACATGTTGAGATAGTTTAGTTTTAGTTGATCCCCGATAAATGCGGATGTCACCAACTTGTATAACACTGCACCGTGACTACTACCAGAGTTGTACGCACGCTTACCATTACGGCATGACTCCAATCGGAGTCATCAGCAGTGAACGGGTTAATCTACTGTCTAATGTGAAGGTTCTACTGTCTAATCCATGGGTCCAACTTGATAATTTTTATGTCACCAGCTTCTATTCTTCAATAAACCTACAGTCTGAAAATGTAGGCTATACATTTTCGGTTAAATTGTAGAGTTTAAAATAATCATAATTATTACAAAACATGTACCAAATTTGACAATTCCAATTCCATTTCAGCAAATTTCCCACATAAGGAATAAGCTATTAACGTAGGTCTCACGGTAAGAACTGGGCCCGGGACCGTTTATTTTTTGGTTTTAATGTCCATAGAGACCAAAAACCTTGTTCAAATTCATATAAAATGTATGTATGTGTGTCCAGTAGCATAGTAGCCTAACTTGAGTAAAAATGATTTTATTTTTATTAAAACGAGCTGTTTGGCCCGTCCTACGTACGGGAATCGAGTAGTCCATTAAAACTGTATATGATTCAGAACAGCTAGCCTAGTTTACAACTTGTTGGCCGATTCACACACACTGGCTTTGAGTACGGTAGCTACATACCACCTTCCACTACATAGGCCTACTATCACTTACCGTACCTTATTTTACCACCTTGGCCACTGAAACCTCTAAAATGATCCTGGCCTCCCGTTCTCTTCTATCCCCTGCCATTTCTAAGGAAGATACCAGTCTGAAGATGTCTTTCATTACTTGGTCTTCCAAGTGGTCGTCTACCTTGTAGTACTCCTTGGAATACACTTTTAAAAGTTGAAGTATCTTCTCTCCGCCATGCAAAGCCTGCCCAGCCCATCCGAGATCTGAGCCTTTTGGAATGTACCCCTTTATCAAGTTTCTGAATCATACAGTACTACTGGGATAGTTATGATATGGTATGAATCGATTTTGGTTTCTACTGAAACCCTGCAGCATACTGGTCAGTTTTCTGGAGACTTACTACACCGGTTGACATTTTCATGTGTACTGTATGCAGTCATACTTAAGTTATATTCAATCTAGAAAAAACGTATCAACACGTAAACCACTTATATCTTGAAGGATTAAGCACTTATACTTAGACGGATTGAATTTATGACAAAACTTGATTATACGTTTAAAATGTATAGTTCAAAATTACACAATCTCCTGATAACATAGATCTTTTACGGTAGGTAATAAACTGCATTTTAAAGTGAAATAGTGTGTAGGCAAACTCTGGATCAATATTTACAAACAACTATGGTATACAAACAACTTTTAACATAAACATTTCAATGACAGTTAAAAACCAGCTGTTAATTAAACCACCACTAAAACGACTTTAACTCGTCCGTCGGCTGCTAGACTTTTTGAAAATTAAAACTTAATTTCTAAAAAACTGGGACCCTAAACTAAAATTACGGCTTCGACATTCCCTAGTTCTCAAAATTATCTTTCTTTCAACACAAAAATCATGAAAATCCGTCAAGTGGTTGATTCAGAATTGTGAAATAAAAAAACCCTCTTTCGTTTTAATATTATAGATTTGTACAACTGGAAATGTAAATCCACTTAGTCTGCAGGAAAGTTGTAGCGGAGGTATTAAAAACTCCAAACTAATTAAAAGGTACACCTACCATATTTAAAAAACATTGTTGATTGATAGTTTGGACATCTTTTATAGTATTTATCTGCTTGTTTTCTATTTTGCAACTTTTATTTTCAAACAAATGTGTTTAGATGACGTTGAGAGCGCTCTGGCCCCATGTGAAGCTAAAGTATATCAACTCAGACAGCATTCCATCCTCTTTGATCCCATTATCCGTAAGCTGGTCAATGAGGCCAACGGAACCTTTATTGCTGGACAAAAAGTTATATCTGGCTCTGGGGCGAAGCAAGAAGCCTTGAAATTGAGCCGCCAATACAGGTAAGTTTACTATAATATTAAATTCCATGTTGATGGCCCCTTGATTACTATAATAGTATTAGTATTAGTTACTATCATAATCTGTTGTGTGCTACTTTAAATTAATTTAATAAACTCAACTAGGCCTGATTATTATTTTAAAAGAAATATCCAGCAAACTCTCCTTTATCTGACAATGAAAGGCATTATAGATGCCACAACAAAGAATGGTGCAGAGATTTAGTCTTTGATCTTTAATAGTTGATCTGCCTGTGCTTAGAATCAAAAGTTTAAGCGAATAAGTTATTAAGTTATTATAGTTTGAGCGAATTAATTTAAGCTGATTTTGTAATGCATTGTGCCTGATACTCTTAAGGAAACATGACAGTATTCTGTCACTAAGTTGTCTTCATTTTTTCTATAGAACATTATGGAATAAAGGAGCCCCAGAGCCGGTAGCCAAAACAGCACCTCCTCCACAATCCCTTCAACTTTTCCTATTAAATACCCCCCCCCCCCCCTTAATACCCTTGGACAATTCACACAAATATCTAGAACAATCTACTATGGTTTATTCAACATTTCTAATCGTTCAAAATAAATTTTAGTCAGTGATCAAATATATTATATTTTTGTTAAATAAAGTTCTCTGTTTGTGTTTAAGGTCCGTCATACGAGCCTGTATCGAAGATCTTCAGAAAGTATCAAAGAAATCAATCAACGACTTTTACAAAGAGTATCTAGCAATCTTTTATAATATAGAATTGATCTGGCACCTTACCGAGATTATGTTTGTGAATGCTCTCCCTGGTGAGTTTTTGAACATTTTCTTTATCAATAGTTTTTATACGTTAGTTAAAAATAAAGAGTTGCAGGTGTCACAAGACACTTGAATGAAATATTATTTATAAATGATTACTAGTCATTTTTAACTGAATCCTTATTTTAGAAAAATGTGTAAATGCCAAACTTAGTGCATTGTTAGGTAGTACCTAATCTTAAATCATGGAATTACCCAATAAGACAAGGACAAAAAGGTGAGCAAGACAAAAGTTGGATATTACTTCAGCTATTTGTTCCAATACACCTTGAACCATGGTGTGCCAGAGCCAGTCACCAAAAGTGACACCATGAGCATACTTCTGAAAACTGTTAATGACTTGAGTACATAATATCAATAACCCAAACATGCTCCTTTCCTTTTGAATTAGTTTTTTTGCAAATTTCCCTATAGGGAAGTAGCTATTACCGTAGGTCGCACGTTATTATCTAGGTTCGGGACCTATTTACTTTTTCATTTTGATGTCCCCAGAGGCTAAAAACACCAGTCGTTCTAATTTTTGTTAATAGTGAAAGATATGTATATAACTTGAGTAATTTTTGTCCGATTTTGATGAAATTTGGTTTGAATGTGTAAAGCGAGATAAACATGAAAACGGGGGTTTACGGGGGCTTTTATAGGGTAAAAAATGGCTTTTCTCATTTTTGACCATCAAAACACAAAATTTCCCAATTTCCCTCTAGACCTTTTTAAATAGCTTAAAAAACGAATAATTTAGTAGGCCTTATCAAAGTGTTTTTGTAAATTTAAAATTCCCATGTTATTCTTATGGAGAATAAGTAAACTGTTGTAGTTTGTTTGTTTATGTAGGCTATATATTTTTATCAAACTTGGTAAATCTATTTATTTTATATTAAGCTATTAATATTTTACTAAAAAACACACTTTATTAGTTTCCTTGTAGCAGCAAACCTAGGTACTCGTTAAACCTAATGTTATTTTAATAGATTTAATTGAAAATCGATTTAGAAAAAGTTTTAAAGATTTCTGATTCTAAACAACTTCTCCATACTATAAAGCCCCACCTACACTTGGAAGAAATATCAATGCAATTTTGTGTGACCTTTTTGTGTAGCCTATCCAGGCCTATATTGCTAAGAGCCCATAAACTCTATAAATAAATAAATACATTTCCTAAGTTTCCTAAGTAAAGAAAGCTCAATACCCTTTACCAGCTCAATGTCCTTTTGTGTGTGTACTAGTTTTTCCATCACCTTCTAGGAGATATTGTTCTGCCTCACCTGCAAGAGTGGATTCGGTTCCACTTCCCTAGTGGTGAAATGACAGCAATAAGAATATTGAACAAACTGGAGTGTGATGCTGATACGAAATACACAGACTACTGGAATATTGTCATCACTCTAATCTTACAGGTAACTTGTCCTACCATTTCAAGCGACTTTCAAGCGAATCTGGTATGCTTGAGCTGGGGTCCCCAGAGAGGGGTACACCCCCTCTGGGGAGAATTTGGGGGGGGGGATTTTCTGGGGAGATTTTGGGGGGGGGGATTTTCTGGGGAGATTTTGGGGGTGATATTTTTCTGCTAGCTGTCATAAGCAATGTAGAATTTTGTATAAGCAGCCCGAAAATGAGTTTCTTAGTAGTTCACTATCAACACCAAAAATATTTTGCTATTCGTAATTAAGGTTACTTCTAATAATGGTAAAAACGCATTCAATTCACACATGTACATTGTCGTGGGCAGAACTGATAAGCCTGAATCAGGCTATGACGTGGACTCTGGATTGTCGTCTGTGTTATCCAACAGCTGATGATGTAATGTACTATTGAAGTGAAAATTGAGTGTTTTAATTCAACATTTGTGTTCAACATCAGTAATAGTTTTTTGTTAAATGTTTGTAACTTATTCTGACGACATCTCCAGAAGTGGATCCTTATGTAAGCCTGACGATGGTGGAGTTAAAGAACCGCCAAAACATGTAGCAAGTAAAATTCGACACTACCGTACATGTTAAGGATTGTCTGTCAAGATGTGTTTCTACCATGATTACCATTAGTCATAAAACACAATTCTGGGGCTATCAAAGTTAATTATAAGATTACTTCGCAAACAATTTGGTGCTGATGGTAATTAAGGTATCGTGGGTATTTTACCCGGTGATTTTCGTAGAAGGCCTGGCAGTGGTGAGCAACCCCTCCTAGTCTGCCCCATTTCGTGACTCTGCTTTTAATATGTCTAATTTTGAGACAAGATAATTTTTGTCAAAGTATTATACGTGCATTTCAAGTTGTTTGAATTCTTAAGCCTTAAAAAATGTACGCCACCTTATATATTGTACAGTAAGTTACAGGGGGGAGGTTTAAACAAAGGGCAACATAAAACCTGGGGGGGGGGGAATTTCGCATCTGGCCAAATAACCTAATAACTTATAGTTCAGGTGAATGTCCAAGGCTCGAGGCTTGTTTATTAAAGTACCAGTAATTATTTTGTGCAACAAAATTTTCAGTGTAGCAGAATAATTTTTATCAACAGACAACTTGAGTATAGGGACCTCAATCCCGTTAACCGTTCTAGAGTAGCGCGCTGATTAATTATATTGTAACTTTAAACTGCATAATTCATACACACACAGCTACACAAACAGATCTTTCGTTATTTATATCTTAAATTGTTTTTTAATATCAACAATCAACATAATGCTGCAACTGATTCTTCCTGTATATCTTTTTATCCTTTAATTTTGGTTTTTTGAACTGAGCAGCAACATGTGTTTTAGTTGTTCTACAAAGGTCGAAAAATACAACTGTGTGACTTAGCGAGTTTAGTGTTGAGCGAAGAATTACATTTACATTAGCGTGCAGTTATTTGAGTTCTCATTTATGTGCATTTAATAAATTCTAGAATGACTGATGAATCAAAACTTTTAATATGAAGAACGGGTGATAAAAGGTCTGTGTGGTACTATTTTTAACTTCAAAAGGCGGCAACAGTGTACAATGTTGAATTGTTAAGTCCAGTTAAACAAAATTAGGGGGTCAACAAAGGGACACCACACTCATTTTACATTGCAAAATAGTGAAAAGATGAAACGGCACTCTCGCCAGATTGGATTAAAGCCTCAGAATTGAGACCCCTACTCAAGTACAACACTAATCAATGCCATAAATAAATGCTTTAGATGTACCTTCAATTGTTTTTTAATCTTAATTTAATTTTTGCAGGGCAACATAGAACCAGCAAGAGGTTTATTGAGACTTAACTCCATGGCAGATTCTGATGCATTTATATCTGCAGAAGAAATGTTGAAAACGCTTCCTGTTTATAATGTAAGTTGGCCTACATTTTATAACCATTCCATGTTGACAACGAAAATTAACTGTGACTTGCTGTATTTAAAACAGACGTTTTGGCAGCAATCTTTTAGCCTACCTATATTAAAACGTGGGAGGGTTTTTTATTACGAATTCAAAATCAACCACTTAATGGATTTTCATGGTTCTGGTGTTGAACGGAAGGGATTGCTGAAGCCATCATTTCAATTTTGGGTTACTGTTTTTGTTAAAAACAAAGTCTAGCAGCTGATTTTCAGTGCATTTTCATTTGGTTTGACTAACAGATGCTTTTAAAATCTCATTAAAATGTTTATGTTACAATTGAATTTATTAGTTTACAAAAATGAAAATATTGATCATCGGTGTTGGCTTACATATTTTTACCACTTCACTTTAAAATGTAGGTTTTTTCCTACCGCAAAGGATTTGCGTTATCAGGAAATATGTGTGATGTAGTAGTGTGATATGTATATGTGTATACATCTCAAACACTTGCATATAACCAAGATTTGTTGTAAATGTAATCTGTGTAAGTATAGGTTTATGCTATGAAAATGTTAACTTGTGTTAAGGAAATATTTTTTTCAGCAAACTGTCGCTTAATTGTTTAAGTTATAAGCGATTTAGGTTTTGGTAGGTATTTTTTTATGTTCAAATTAGTGATGGGCCGATTCCAGATATTTTCAATTACGATTCTGGTTCTGATTATTTGAAATCGATTCTTGATTCCGGTTCCAATAAGTTAAAAATAGTTTATAGTGCTGAAACTAATATGTTTTACTAGTGATGTATCGATACCAACATTTATTGATTCAGGTCGGCTAAATTATGATCATCTCTCGTGACCGTCAATACATTGTTATCCTCTTCTGCGGCTGTGTTGACATCATTATCAGCTCCTGCTACCGCGGCAAAATTCATATGATTTCCCGTGGTCGTGTAGACAACGTCATCGTCTAATGCGTTCACAGCAAAACCCTGAATAACCCCGTGGTAATGAAACATCATCATCGTTTTCCACCATTGCGGCATAATCATGAATATCTTCCGCGGTCGCTAGACATTATCGTCGACTTCTGTGATCGTGGCAATAGTGGTAATTTTCTGATCACACGATCTTGGCAGACAAATCGGAAATTGGACAATAATAATATCAAATTTGGTAAAATCATTAATTGACTTTTGGTATCGACCCATCCCTAGTTTGAATGTATGTATGTCGGCATACCAAAATGTTGGTGAGTTATAAAAATATCAACCTGTTAAGTAGGTCTCTCGAAAGCTTACTAATGTCCAAATCAGTTGCAGAGTGTAGGTAGGAGATCCCTGCCTAGGAGTCTCAATCCTGGGCCTTCAATCCACACCCGGTATTTTGGGATTCGTATCAGCCAATCTCGGGATCAATACCGGGATTACATAATTTTATGATTTTAACTTATTAGTCATTTTAAATGAGCGAAAAGTCCCCTCCCGTTAATTCCTTTAATGTTTTAAACTGGCCTTATCAGTGTTACACTGCGGAATTTTGCTGGAACTTTCATCACCCGTCTTTCTTATTTACGTGTATACTTTCTTAATACTTTCTTTAATACTTTCTTATTAAATGGCGACCATACAAAATAGGTATTTTAAGCTAAGTATGAATGGATATGAGTGTAGGACAAGTGGCGCGATTTGTAGTCTTGTTAGTGACTAAGGCCGACATTCCTTAGGCACAGCTGGTAATTAATAGCCCATACAGCTAATGGCAACTAATATAAATAGATATAAATGTTGATATGTCACTCTAGAACATAATAAATACATGTTTTTTATCACGAGCAACCGCACTCGCATGTAGCCTACATGTCATGCTAGTATGGAAACTAGGGGTCTGCGGTGCACCGAAAAAGCCGGTACTCACGGTGCAAGCTTAATTACCGTCATCGGTTCGGTACAGCATTTTACACGGTACAAATTTGGTTCAGTACAGCCTATTATAATAATAAATTACTTTCAGTTTACTGTCGCAGTCAATGACAGTTGGTTCCAGCACATAAAAGTCTTATCAGATATTTGTTTACGATCTTCATAATTTATTACTAGGGTGATGATGCAATAAAAACCCCATTAGCAGTCCCAAATCCATTAATATTTATCACGACAATAACATTTTATCAGGACAATATTGTTGTATTCAAGTACTTCCAAGAACTGTTGAGTTTTATCACTTTTATTTCTTTACAACTTTCCCCAATTCTATTTTATCATAAAAATAATAGTTTTATGATGACTGTTAAATGTTATCTCTAACTCAGTCAGTATTTTCGTGAATATTCAATTTGCCGCTGGCCATTACCTACTGCCATAAAACTGTTTATGGCTACATACTAAACTTGTAACTAATCTACAATCTTATTTTATAAGTTAAAATATTTGTTATAGATATTTTGAAATTGATGAAATCTGTTGATGAAACCACAAGCATAATTTTTAAAAGTTGTTTGCATAATTTTTTTTCTTGACACAATCCTCGTAGTAATAAAAGGTTTTGTTTTAATAATGTGTGGTACAGTAACTGTTTTTAGAAAACCATGAATGTAGGATACTATCCATTTTCATAGTAATGTCAATGTATTAAAGTTAAAAAAATAATGGTTTAAATACAGTTCTGCGCAGAAACCGCAAAAATATGGGTAGCCCCGTACCGTACCGATTTTGTACCGAGAACCGAGGTACAAAATATTGTACCGTACCGACGTTAAATTTTCTGTACCGCAGACCCCTAATGGAAACTAAATAACGTAAATCAAAATATAAAGATAAAAAGATAATATGGGAAGAATCACAAGTAGCAGCGTAAAAATTTTATTTTGACTGACAGCAATAAAACAATATAAGGTTCTGTAAAACAATAAAACAACTGCTTATGTAGTAGCGAAAAACGTAATTTAATTTAGGATTGTAAAAAATTTAATCTTCACACTAATAATTAAATACAAAAATAAATTTATAGACGCTAAATATAAGCAATCTTAATAATGAAATAATAATGGTGTTTTTTAGTTAATTTTTAGGGCTTCAATGTTATTAAGAAAATAATACCTCAATTACCGATTGTGTTTAATGTCAAAAGTAAAACTCCAAATAACCTATAGGCCTACTATAATTAACTTTTAATTCATGTAATGACATTTACAGAAAGTTAATTTGTTTCCAATTTGTCTAAAAACATGAAACATATATTTACATATGTTCGCCTATTGAGTTTAACGATAGTTACATCTTCCAATCAAAGTAGATCACAACTTTATACCATTTCATATATTTATTTATCGTTAAAAAAATAAACATTATATTTGTTTCAAGTGTTATTGGATGTATTTTTGTTTATTTTCCGTAAGTAAAACTCATCAAATTCACAAAAAAATCAATATAAACATAGATTTTGCATCCCGTTAATCCCGGGATTACATGACACCAATCCCAGGATTGCTAGGTATCAAGAATCTACTGGGATTTGGGATTTCGGGATTGAGACCCCTATCCCTGCCATATAGCACACTCAGCATTAAATTAATAGACAAAAACCTGATTTAACATTGATACCTAATTTTTACTTTAGGTGTTTGGTGGACTGTCTGTTGCTGATTTCAATACTAGGTTTGCCTCATGGAAGAATACTCTCAAGTCAAGATTGAATGCTAGAGTATTTTCCAGCTGCAACAATCTTGAACTTGTTATGAAAGTAAGTAATTACTGTAAATACTGTGCTCCTAAATACAACTTCTTTAGTGTTTTGGACACAAAAAGGGGGAAAATGTGATGGCAAAAACCACGTAGATGACAGTTTAAATATTTTGTCCCAAGTTACGAAGAAAACTGTGAGCAAATTTCTTCAACCAAATCACTTTAACAATACGATAGGTAGATCTTCCTTTTATTAACCCTAATTTAGGTTTCATAACTAAACTTATCCAAAGAATTAAGTGACAATAAATAAAGATGACAATAATTACACTGTACAAATTAAATTCTCATGTTATTCTTACGGAGAAAAAGTAAACTATTGTAGTTTGCTTGTTTATGGATATATTTATGGTTGACCCATACATTTTCTATGAGCTCTCTAAAACTGAGTTAATTCGTTTATTGGAATTAGTTTTGATTGTGTTCTGTCTGCAGATGATCCTAGGAGAGGCTGCTACAGAGATGAAGCAACACTGCAGTACGTGGTACGAGCTGATGGTCTCGTCTCTCATGTACTCAGAGCCCACAGTGAAGTCGTTTGATCTCATCTATCATGCCAACAAGTGCATCATGCAGTTTGGTGGCACTTCTCATCTCACACAGCTGGACCACATCATCCTTTCATTGCTGGAGTGCAACCTACATGATGCCATCAAGAAACTGCAGCAGACCTCGGACAGTGGCTGGGCAGCAGCTCACCTCACCAACCTGCTTTACATCTGCGCCAGACTGAATGTCATCGACAATAAACTCATTAGGTGAGCCAAATAGATTAACAAGGCTTAACACTAAACATAACCCAGACTAGAACAATTTGGGCAAATAAGTTAAATGCAAGTAATTAAACACATTCTCTATATAAGATCAAATATAATAACCTCTATAATAACTACTCTTCTCTATTGGACCTGGAATATTTCTTCAAGTCAGATCAACATCTGACCTAAGCCGTCAGAGCTTGCAGTTTCTGTCGTTCAGTTTAACCTAGAACCACATCATGGTCAAAGTCAAGCTTTGAGTCTCGAGTTTCTAGCTCAGTAGGCAGCTTGACAAAATTCCGAAATCTCGGCAGTATATCAGTCGCTTATCGCACCAGGGTCTCTTATGGGGTATAGACTCATCGCAACCCGAGATAATCAGTCCCATCAAAGATGTAACTGACGCCTCTGCGTGACGCCAGGTGCGGCAGGAAGCACCGGCGCATGCAAGCTGGAAATTTGTCCTCGTTAATGACAAGTCTGGACTTGGCAGCAAAGTCCAGGATGTACTTTCCCCGGGAGTTGGTAAGAGTCACTCTGCTCTCAACAAGCCTTAGCATTGACAATAATCATTGGTGTTTCAGGAATTTTCTTGGCCTGACTAATTGACTATCGATAAACACCTTAATTGGAATGAACATGTAAACAAGATCTTGACAAAAATGAACTCTGGAATTCATGCGCTTTCAAAACCGTCTTTTTATTGTAATTTAACAACATTGAAAAATATTTATTTTGCTTACATACATTCTCATATTTCTTTTGGTATTTGTTTATTTGGAGCAACAAAAAAAGCAAATTTGGATGGTGTGTTAAGATTCCAAAAGAGGTCTATAAGAGTAATGCTGAAATTTAATCAAGATGATTCGACCAGAGAACATTTCAAACAGTTAAAAATACTGACGGTTTATGGCCGATATGTTCTTGACGTCATTTTGTGTGCAAAGAACAAAATTCCTAATGATGTCCCTCACGAACCCACACATCATTATAACACTAGAAAAAAGAACTCTATAAGGCAAAATCAGCACAGACTGAAGCTCTATGAAAAAAAAACCAACATATGTTGGTGAACAGTTTTAAAAATTAATCCCAGAAAATATTAATAAAGAAAAAAATTCAATTAAATTTAAAAGACAACTGAAAGCTTATTTAATTAACGAGGTATTACTCGCTGGATGAATTTCTAAACCTCCCTCTTAAATAAATAAACTAAATATGAATGTATCAACAAAGCTTCCTTAGATGAGTTGTAGGAAATAATGTTAATTTAAGCATTGATAATTTTAAGAAACCTTTGATTATACTTTTTCATACCTGTATTTTGACACTATTTATGTATGTTATATGCTACTTACAAATAAAGATTATTTGAATTTGAAATACCCCACCATGCTGACCCTGTGCTATTGCACACACTCTATTCCAGGCTTACTATTTTCTCGTTGAAGTCATAGATGGCCTCATTGGAGGTGAGGTAGACACTGAAGTAAGTGACTTCCCTGCATCCAATCTAAATGAATCCTCAGCCCCTCACAACTCCCCACACTTGCACTTTAGCTGTATTATTATGCACCCAGAATGCATGGAACTGACCAAGACTATCATGGAACCGAGGAGATGGGCCTCTATTCTGGCTTCTGCTTGCTCAAGTGCAGTTCAAATCAATCATTTTGCCAAGACCCTTTTCATGTGTCAGTCGAGCTACCTGGTCAGACTACTTTTCTTGGGCTGGTATGTTATATGAGTGGTGTTCTAGTGACATGCCTGAGAGGATGGACGAGTGGTTGGTGGCTGACTACGCAAGTCTCCTGATGTCACACCAGTCACTGTGGCAGGCTGGGTTGAGTTACCTAGACTACTGTCCTACCCTAGGCTGGTATGTTATATGTTTGATGTTCTAGTGACATGGCTGAAAGGATGGACGAGTTGTTGGTGGCTGACTACGCAAGTCTCCTGATGTCACACCAGTCACTGTGGCAGGCTGGGTTGAGTTACCTAGACTACTGTCCTACCCTAGGCTGGTATGTTATATGTTTGATGTTCTAGTGACATGCCTGAAAGGATGGACGAGTTGTTGGTGGCTGACTACGCAAGTCTCCTGATGTCACACCAGTCACTGTGGCAGGCTGGGTTGAGTTACCTGGACTACTGTCCTACCCTGGGCTGGTATGTTATATGTTTGATGTTCTAGTGACATGCCTGAGAGGATGGACGAGTGGTTGGTGGCTGACTACGCAAGTCTCCTGATGTCACACCAGTCACTGTGCAGGCTGGGTATGGGTATTTATATTACCTGGACTACTGTCCTACCCTGGGCTGGTATGTTATATGTTTGATGTTCTAGTGACATGCCTGAAAGGATGGACAAGTGGTTGGTGGCTGACTACGCAAGTCTCCTGATGTCACACCAGTCACTGTGCAGGCTGGGTATGGGTATTTATATTACCTGGACTACTGTCCTACCCTGGGCTGGTATGTTATATGTTTGATGTTCTAGTGACATGCCTGAGAGGATGGACGAGTGGTTGGTGGCTGACTACGCAAGTCTCCTGATGTCACACCAGTCACTGTGGCAGGCTGGGTTGAGTTACCTGGACTACTGTCCTACCCTGGGCTGGTATGTTATATGTTTGATGTTCTAGTGACATGCCTGAAAGGATGGACGAGTTGTTGGTGGCTGACTACGCAAGTCTCCTGATGTCACACCAGTCACTGTGGCAGGCTGGGTTGAGTTACCTGGACTACTGTCCTACCCTGGGCTGGTATGTTATATGTTTGATGTTCTAGTGACATGCCTGAGAGGATGGACAAGTGGTTGGTGGCTGACTACGCAAGTCTCCTGATGTCACACCAGTCACTGTGCAGGCTGGGTATGGGTATTTATATTACCTGGACTACTGTCCTACCCTGGGCTGGTATGTTATATGTTTGATGTTCTAGTGACATGCCTGAGAGGATGGACGAGTGGTTGGTGGCTGACTACGCAAGTCTCCTGATGTCACACCAGTCACTGTGGCAGGCTGGGTTGAGTTACCTGGACTACTGTCCTACCCTAGGCTTGTATGTTATATGAGTGATGTTCTAGTGACATGCCTAAAAGGATGGACGAGTGGTTGGTGGCTGACTACGCAAGTCTCCTGATGTCACACCAGTCACTGTGGCAGGCTGGGTTGAGTTACCTGGACTACTGTCCTACCCTAGGCTTGTATGTTATATGAGTGATGTTCTAGTGACATGCCTAAAAGGATGGACGAGTGGTTGGTGGCTGACTACGCAAGTCTCCTGATGTCACACCAGTCACTGTGGCAGGCTGGGTTGAGTTACCTGGACTACTGTCCTACCCTGGGCTGGTATGTTATATGTTTGATGTTCTAGTGACATGCCTGAAAGGATGGACGAGTTGTTGGTGGCTGACTACGCAAGTCTCCTGATGTCACACCAGTCACTGTGGCAGGCTGGGTTGAGTTACCTGGACTACTGTCCTACCCTGGGCTGGTATGTTATATGTTTGATGTTCTAGTGACATGCCTGAAAGGATGGACGAGTTGTTGGTGGCTGACTACGCAAGTCTCCTGATGTCACACCAGTCACTGTGCAGGCTGGGTATGGGTATTTATATTACCTGGACTACTGTCCTACCCTGGGCTGGTATGTTATATGTTTGATGTTCTAGTGACATGCCTGAGAGGATGGACGAGTGGTTGGTGGCTGACTACGCAAGTCTCCTGATGTCACACAAGTCACTGTGGCAGGCTGGGTATGGGTATTTATATTACCTGGACTACTGTCCTACCCTGGGCTGGTATGTTATATGTTTGATGTTCTAGTGACATGCCTGAGAGGATGGACGAGTGGTTGGTGGCTGACTACGCAAGTCTCCTGATGTCACACAAGTCACTGTGGCAGGCTGGGTTGAGTTACCTAGACTACTGTCCTACCCTAGGCTCAGCATGGCTCCGTCTATTACTGCCTCGGGTACCACTCACCTCCCAATCACGTGTTAACATCATCATTCAGGCAGCAGTGGACAGAAACATGCTCGACATTGGTAAGGTTTTTTATTTTCTCGAGTTATTGTGCTAACAGTCATATTTTATATAATATGTAGGGTTACTGTAATAAATATTGTTAGAAAGATAAACCATAGTATAATTTTTTTATTCTGTTTTAAATAATTTGTATATAGCCTACATCTATATGAACTTGATTGGATGGTGTTTTTTTTAACCTCTGGGGAAATCAAACAAAAAATTAAATCGGTCAGAGGTCTTTCCATGAGACCTGATGGTATCTGGATGACATGATACCTACGGCAATAGTATATTCCCTATATGGGAAATCCGCTAAAATTATAGGTAAGATTTCATTTATTACTAAATCATGCTTTATTTCAAACTATTTATTTATATACCATGTATTATCTCTTCAACCAATATAGGCTACCTATAATTACAGGATACTCGTTTGTGGGCTTTCAACATTTATTGCAGACAATATGCTTGAATTTACATATAGTTTGTGTAATGTTTGGCAGCGGCAAGTGTGTGCAAGGTTGCAGGCATGAAGGAACTGCGTAGGCGCAGGCTAGGCCAAGCACTTTACTGGGCTCTGCAGTCACAGGATCCTGGTTTTGCAACATTTATTGCGGACAATATCCTTGAGTACTATGCAAGAGAAGGCGTATTCAGCTCAGTGGATTTACTTGACAACTTAGGGTCATGTATGCTCGTCTGTGACCGTCTGACATTCCTAGGTCAGTAAAGAATCGTAAAAGACAAATATAAATTTTACGAAAAGAAAGAATAGTTTTAAAACTAGAAAGAAAATTTTGTAATTCTCATGAATCTTCACTTCAGTTTGTCAAAACTCTACCTATTATCAAAATAATTATATCAGGTGACGGCATAAAGTAATTTTCCTAATTTTTTTCTAAAATTTACAAAATTGAGAAATGAACAGCAGTGTATAGCTACTTATATTGTTTGCTTATTAATTTAGTCATTGATAACTGCATTGATACTTTTTGTACTAAAATAACAATTTTATTTTATTTCAGGCAGACAATGTATTGTTCACTAATCAACATTGACAAAAACTTCCACACAATCCAAAATTAACTAAATAAATATGTACTGTATTCGGTCAATTTTAAAACTGATTAATTAAGTTAGTTGCAACAAAGGTTGTAGCTTAAGTGTATTCATTTTACTGGATTCATTGACAAAACATTTATTAATAAATACAATTTAAGCCAATAGAGCCTTGCATTTTACTGATTAAGGCCTTTGTTTTGAAGTAAAATTACTTAAAAATACCTGAGAAGTGTTACTAATATTTTTGTTACATTCCAAAATTTTGTTAAATCAAACAATTAACTGTTTTTTTTTTCAGGCAAGTACTGTGAATTTCATCAAGTGTTCAGCAATGGAGATTTGAAGAAAGCTGCTGGTTTGCTGATATCACTTTTGGAGTCAAAGATTTCACCAAAATAGTTAGTATTTTAGTTTCATTATCTATACTAAAAACTAATTTTATTACTATTAACAACCAGTTGAGATGGGGCCATCTATGTGCGTATTTTAACCCAAATATGAGTGAAGGGTGACTGTAGAATGGTGTGAGATGATCTGTGTAGCTTTGTTACATAATTAGGTACAGTAGTGTATTCTGTGCTAACATATTACCAAATTGAATAATTTAGAATAAATTAGAGATGTGTGGATATCTGAAAAATCGGGTCTGATTCGGTTTTGATATCTGAAACATATCCGACTTTTTTGGATCGCATTCGCGCAAGATGTCGAATAGTATGTGTCCAAGACTCCGGGAGACAATAATGATATTTACATGATCAGAATTTTTTCACGATCACGAAAGGCGAAGATGTCTTTTGGTAATAGTGGCAGAGTAAAAGAGAAACATGAGTATCGTCACATACTACCATTATTTGTTTCGTAAATGGTAACTATGCATCCCTATTTACCTGTTGTATCAGGGTTGTACGGTCAGAGAAAATCTGGAATAGTCAGGGAATTTTGTTGGTCTGGAAAATTCAGGGAATTATGAAAAAGTTCTGGAACTTCTCCTGAAAGACTAACTTTTTACAGATATGCTTAGTTTTGCTCTTAACATGTTTTTGTCAGGGGTAGGCTATGTCTAATGGCAAAAAGTAAAAGATATGCACATTTTTATATCAGTAGTTAGTTATCGGTATGGAGGACAAATCGATATGTATATAGTTTGAAACAAGTTTTGTATTTGGGAGTAATTGAATAAGTTACATTTATTCTAATATTTCTTGATTTTGATTAGTTGATATCGACTTGCGGTATACCTGGACAAAATATACAATATCAGTCTGGAAAATCTGGAATAGTCAGGGAATTTTGTTGGTCTGGAAAATTCAGGGAATTATGAAAAAGTTCTGGAACTTCTCCTGAAAGACTAACTTTTTACAGATATGCTTCGTTTTGCTCTTAACATGTTTTTGTCAGGGGTATGTCTAATGGCAAAAAGTAAAAGATATGCACATTTTTATATCAGTAGTTAGTTATCGGTATGGAGGACAAATCGATATGTATATAGTTTGAAACAAGTTTTGTATTTAGGAGTAATTGAATAAGTTACATTTATTCTAATATTTCTTGATTTTGATTAGTTGATATCGACTTGCGGTATACCTGGACAAAATATACAATATCAGTCTGGAAAACCTTGAAAAGTCAGGGAATTTTTTTTCTAAATTTAGTACCAACAATATCAGCCTCTTCGTTGGTTGATTTTTAATGAACTTGTGGCATCCCCCCTCCCGCCCATGTGCATTAACCACCCATGTGTATTAGAAGTGGTACTGGGTCTCTGCCAGTTACATGTAATTGATGGTTTAATTTGGCATCCCTTCATTCTATATTGCTACGTTTGAGCGTGGCAAGAGGGCTCCAACTCTCGCTGGAGTACAGCCCTCCAACATGCCCCTGAGCAGAAGACTGACCGCACCGCCGTCCCGGCCAGTGTCTCAAGCATACAGCAATAGCATCAAGAACAGAAGGAAAAGGAGGGTTGGAAATAGTAGGATAAACACAAAATCATATTACCAAATTTATACTTTAATCAAATGTTCAGAGTACTAGTTGCAAAGATGCTGAGCCTTTCATTTAGTTTGGTGGTCTGTGTAGTTGCTGAAGGGGGGAGAGGGGTTGAGGGGTGTTGGAAGGGACCAACAATTATTTTTAACAAAGGTTAGGCCCTGTACACATGAGGGCGGCAGCCGCCTAGGACCGTACACATGGCAGCGGTTGGAGCCGCGGTTACGCTGCGGTTGCGGTGTGAATTGACCGTCGCTCGACAGCCAGTACTGTATTTACCCAATTATTTTTCTTTTAAACGCGTAACGCTTGACAATTCTTTTCAGCAAAAAGCTCAACAAACTCTTTTCTCAAGCCACGCAATCTTTTTTAGTTTATATCCTAAACGAATCTTCTTTGTGTACTTCTTTAATGAGCAGTTCAGTGTCAAAGTTTTCTGGTTCCACAGTAGCACGCATGGCCATTGTAAACTTACACTACGAGCACTGTACATCAACTCCAGCCACAGCTACACACTTCACCAACACAGAGAGCGATGTCCGCAGGGCAAGCGCGCAGATGTCTGTGATCCTATAGTAGCAACTGCAGTCAACCACGGCGGCTACCGCCCTCATGTGTACGCTCTCATGCCAACTCTAGTAACTTCAACCGTGCGGGAGCCACGGCGGTCGAAGGGAAATCTACGACCGCCGCGGTTTGTTGCGGTTGATTGGAAGTGGGCGGTTGCATGTGAACGGTCCCATTTGCTCCTTTGTACTTTCAACCGCCGCGGTTCCCGCGCAATGGCAACCGCGGCGGCTGCCGCCCTCATGTGTACAGGGCCTAACTTGTACAAATAGGCCTGTATGCATTGCATTTTATAACTATGTTTACTAAAGAATCTGTTTAATACGTTATGGGTATTCATATAAATTATGCGAAAACCATGAGGTTACCAAAATTACGGAAGACATCTTTTTTGTGTAACATTCTAGGCTCTTTATTTCATGTATGGACACAAAAATATCTAAAACCAACAGTTTTGGAGTATTTATAGAAAAACCAGTTTTGGCTGCCATTTTTTCAATATGGCGGCATTTGCCCAAGGGTGCCAAAGTGGCACCCGGCATATTCATAATCAGCGCAAAAAACAGACAGAATCAGACAAAAAACCTTTGTCAGACTATAAACCTGATTTACTCATATCAAATGTTTACTTTGGAAGTAAAACCAACTAATATAATATAAATAAATGAACCCACCACAGCATAAAAAGACTGCATGCTCCAGGGTTATTGTTGCTAATCCTATATGCTCCATATTTATTTCAGAGATCCTTTGCAAACATATACTGACACACAGATTATGCCTATATATTGTGAACCAAAATTATGTTATGTATAGGCTAAGAGGGTATATTTTTTCAGTTTCTGGTTGACCTTACTGACAGACTCCCTCCCTCTGCTGGAGTCCAAGGAGATGCCGGTGTTCTCCTACAGAGACACAGTAACGTTGATGGTGGCCTTGGAGGAACTGGAGATGGAGAGAGTAGACCATCCTAGAGCGCCACCACTCAGTACACTCAAAGAGAAGCATCGTCTGGTGCGTATGGCTCTTACACAGAATCTCGCCAGAGCCACACTTTACGAGAATGCTCCGATAGCATAACACCACTTATAAAAGACTAATGCTAAAGTGAAATGTTTGTAATTTTTTACTTTGTTTAAAAACTCTTATATTTAGGAACTAGCTGTGTCAACTTTATATTTGTAAAAAAAAGTTTTTTGACAGATCAATATAATGGTAGGCCTACTTATTTTTATCCTTAGTATTAATTTTCAATATCACAACTAACTGTTCGTGCTAAAAACAAAATATGTAGGTATATTACTTTTATTTCCAAATAGTTTTCTGAAATTGGTGGATTGTAACTCCAACCATCCTTGGTTTTTAGTGTTTAGAATTCATACAAAATCACTATGTCAGATATAATATTTCTTATGCTTGCCGGGCAACAGAACTGAAACCTAACATGGGATAGCTACATTTTTCTTGCTCCTAGCTACTTGATTAGAAAGGGTTTAGCAAAATGCATTTAGGCCTATAGTCTAGGACCTGACTAGGGTTCTGTGTGCATGTCGTGTATAGAGAATTTTGCTTTTGCATTTCAATATAGGTGTCTTAGGAAGTGTTTTCCACTCGGGTGTCAAGTTCGCACCTGGTACGTTTTTGAGCTATGACGTCATCTAAATGGCGGTCATTGATTTTTTTAAATCGTATATTTCGCAAACTATTTGTCGGATCGGAATGATTTTTTTTTTGTTTGAAAGACAATTTTAAATGCTACCTGTTTTACATTTACATATTTGTTGTTTGTTTAGTACATTCTTTGTAATTTTGCAAAAACCTGTATTTTTAAATATTTTTGAGTTATTTTTGTTTGTAACGTTTTATTGATACAATTTATAAAAAACCACCAATGAAAAAAGTTGTAGAACGTTTAAAAATCTTTACAAAAATACCAAATTCGATATGTTTTACTCAAAAGATTACGTCAAGAAACTAGATAAATCTCATAAAAACACCAATTTTGGCGCAAAAACGCCTATTAGTCCGGCATCTAGGGCAGTTCGCAAGTCTTATAAAGACAGTTTCACCATTCAATGTTGATGTATGTGTCTAAATAAGTGTTTTCAACTCGGGTGTCACGTCTGCACCCACTGCAGTTTCCGGTTATGACGTCATTAAAATGGCGGAAAGGGCTATATTAAAAATAACGATATTTTACATACCATGTATCGGATCGGAATAAACTTTTTTTTGTTTGAAAGATAAGTTTACATGCTATCTTTCTTACATTTGCACTTTTGTTTTATGTTTAGTACATTTTTTCTAATTTTGCAAAAACCTATATTTTTAAACATTTTTGTGTTATTTTTGTCGATAACGTTTTATTGATACAATATATCAGAAATAACTTAAAGACAAAGTTGTAGCACGTTAAAAGAGCTTTACAAAAATATCAAATTCTATATGCTTTACTCAAAAGATCACGTCAAGAAACTAGAAAATCGTACAAAACAACCTAATTTTGCGCAAAAACGCATATAAATCCGACATCGATGGCTGTGTACGAGTCATATATAGACAGTTTTACCATTCAATGTTGATGTATGTGTCTAAAGAAGTGTTTTTAACTCGGGTGTCACGTCTGGACCCACTGCAGTTTCCGGTTATGATGTCTTTAAAATTGCTACATGTTACGATTTCACCAGCTATTTTACTTAAAATAAGACCATTACCCTCTTTTATGCAAATAAAAGCACAACAAATCAATGTAATTAGTCCATAGGAATGTTTCCACTATATAAATACCCCCGGTGCAGCAATCCTTTCGACTAAGCGAATTTCCATTTGCCTGGATTGATTTTCAATTAATCTATTAAATTAACATTGTTTGAGTCGTTAATTTAATGTTAATTTAATAGATTAATTGAAAATCAATCCAGGCAAATGGAAATTCGCTTAGTCGAAAGGATTGCTGCACCGGGGGTATTTATATAGTGGAAACATTCCTATGGACTAATTACATTGATTTGTTGTGCTTTTATTTGCATAAAAGAGAGTAATGGTCTTATTTTAAGTAAAATAGCTGGTGAAATCGTAACATGTGGCAATTTTAAAGACATCATAACCGGAAACTGCAGTGGGTCCAGACGTGACACCCGAGTTAAAAACACTTCTTTAGACACATACATCAACATTGAATGGTAAAACTGTCTATGTATGACTCGTACACAGCCATCGATGTCGGATTTATATGCGTTTTTGCGCAAAATTAGGTTGTTTTGTACGATTTTCTAGTTTCTTGACGTGATCTTTTGAGTAAAGCATATAGAATGTGGTATTTTTGTAAAGCTCTTTTAACGTGCTACAACTTTGTCTTTTAGTTATTTCTGATATATTGTATCAATAAAACGTTATCGACAAAAATTACACAAAAATGTTTAAAAATATAGGTTTTTGCAAAATTACGAAAAATGTACTAAACATAAAACAAAAGTGCAAATGTAAGAAAGATAGCATGTAAACTTTCAAACAAAAAAAAGTTTATTCCAATCCGATACATGGTATGTAAAATATCGTTATTTTTAATATAGCCCTTTCCGCCATTTTAATGACGTCATAACCGGAAACTGCAGTGGGTGCAGACGTGACACCCGAGTTGAAAACACTTATTTAGACACATACATCAACATTGAATAGTGAAACTGTCTTTATAAGACTTGCGAACTGCCCTAGATGCCGGACTAATAGGCGTTTTTGCGCCAAAATTGGCGTTTTTATGAGATTTATCTAGTTTCTTGACGTAATCTTTTGAGTAAAACATATCGAATTTGGTATTTTTGTAAAGTTTTTTAAATGTTCTACAACTTTTTTCATTGGTGGTTTTTTATAAATTGTATCAATAAAACGTTACAAACAAAAATAACTCAAAAATATTTAAAAATACAGGTTTTTGCAAAATTACGAAGAATGTACTAAACACACAACAAATGTGTAAAAGTAAAACAGGTGGCATTTAAAATTATCTTTCAAACAAAAAAAAATTCATTCCGATCCGACAAATAGTTTGCGAAATATACGATTTAAAAAAATCAATGGCCGCCATTTTGATGACGTCATAGCTCGAAAACGTACCAGGTGCGAACTTGACACCCGAGTGGAAAACACTTCCTAAGACACCCATATTGAAATGCAAAAGCAAAATTCTCTATACACGACATGCACACAGAACCGTAGTCAGGTCCTGGACTACTAGGCAAGCTTGGTGGTTAATTTTGCCTAATCCTTATGGGGCATTAAACATGAGACATAGTATAATATAAATAAGTGTTCAGTCAAATCGACAAAAAAAATCTATTTTACAGACAGCTGTTAGATTATAATTTAGGTCTATTCTATTGGTTCATCTTTAACCGACCAGTAACATCTAAAAATCATATACCTGCATATTATCATGGACCAACAGCTAGTGCTCCACAGTATTAAATTTCATCACTACAGCCAATTTATTTAAATATTGATCAATATAACACAATGATAAATTCAAATTGATACAATAATGTATTTAGTGTTTGATGAGTAGGTACAAAAACTCGGTAGGACTAAATGGGTTCTCTGGGGCAAAAAAAGAAAATTATATATAGGCCTACTAAATTTTTTCCAACAAAAAACCCTTGGACCAATACCACTTACAGTAGTATTTTTTCATAAAAAATATTGTTTTAAAAATAATACAGTTGTTCTTATGAAACTTGGTATTGTGATTAAGGTAGTATCGATCGCAAGCTATATTTTGGCCGAGGGTGGGGGCCTGCTCCCCGTGTCCCACGGCTGAATCCGCCACTGCATAGAGCTAAGGGCCTTAAAAGCACGACCTGACCATGATCCAACCAAGGCAACGAATGTTTTACCAACTACAGTGTCAATATGGATGTTGAAGAAGTAGCTGCTGTGGTGCATTTGTATCGTAGGTACGTTAATCGGAAGAAGAAACGATACTGGATACATCCAATGTTAACTGAGACTTTTCCTTCTGAGTAGCATCATCACGTCCACCAAACATCACCTCTCAAGCTTCCTTCTACATCCCTCTGTTGGAATAATCTACCGCTGATAGATCCCATGGGTTGAGCTGTGTACTGGTCGGGTCGGAGACAAGTCATGGGTAGTGCGCGTCATCCCATTTTATTGTGTGCTATTTTTCGCTGCAACAGCCAGCGAGTCGGGCACGAACCAAACTGCAAGGACTTTGGTCCTTTGGGTAGACCAGTACGCGTTGTTCCATTCAGGGCCGTCCCTAGGGTTGGCAGCGCCCTGAGCAAACGTGGTCGTGGCACCCCCTCCCCCCACCAGTAATAGTCGCATTCACATATTTTAAATACTATGTTAATACAAATAGCCGCAGCGCCCCCTCAGCCTGAAGGTTGCCCAAAACCTTCAGACGGCCCTGGTTCCATTTATGCCTATTATAAAACTGGCTGTATCTGACCAGTCGGAGTCGTGGTCGGGATAGTGCGCGCTGGCCCTAATATAACAATATACTTAGGGAGTATTTTGCCTAGTACCTATTGCAGAAATGGAAATTGGCCCTGAATGTTCCCTAAGACTGATTGCTCTCTTAAGATAGTTTAGACATCTTTTCAAAAATTAGAACTAAGTCGTAATATAATTTACACTAATGTTCCAGGACTTAAAATAATTACAATCGTCTTTGTACACAATTTTTTTTTAATATTTTACATTAAGTTTGAACTATACAATTACAAATAACAATCCACTACGAGAAACACAATATCTACCCGGTTTAGCTTGTCCTCAGAAGCTTAGCCTCTTTCTTCTCATCCAACTCTCTTCTTTGCTCCAAAACAACTTCTCTCCTTTTTTCTAGAAACTGTTGATATTCTTCTGCGTCTAAAGATTTTACAACTTCAATACCCATATTTTGAGCACATTGTATTGTCTCCTCACATAGTTGTTCAAGTGTTTTCAAAATATTTGGTGGATCTTCCATTTTTATGTTTGCAATTTCGTATATATGTTTTAGAGTTACTTTTCCTGCTACCTCTTTGCCTAGAAGTAAAACAGAATTTTATTATTTCTTAGTATCTTGTTTTTCATAACACTACAAAATAATATAGTTAGCTTGTTGAATTATTTTATACATTAATACATACATATGCATATGCTCTACTCCCGTTTAGCCGGGATAAAGTAAGGTCAAGGCTTCCCAGATATATGTAAAATCGCAGTTAGTTTGCAAACTATTGAACAGGAAAGGGCATTAAAATACAAAACAGTACCGGTACTAAACGATGGTAATTGCATTACAATCCTGAATGTTGTATTTGACAGGAATCACAATGAATAACCCACGCATTTGAACACAATAACAAATATAAATACAAAGAATATGTACAGTGTTAAAGATCAAATAAAATATTTACAAGGCACAAACTGAATTACTTTCTTTGAAAATAATCAGTAACAGTTGTCTGTTGTTGAATAGCAAAACATCTCTTTTTGATTAAATCTAAGGCTTACCTTACGATCTAATTTATAAATTGGATCGTAAGGTAAGCCTTAAATTTAATCATGTTCAATAACAATCCAGAGGCTCTCCAAATCTCTTTTTGATTCTACTTTCATCACATAAACATAAACTTGTGTAAACTTGTGTTACTTGTGTATAAACATAAACACTATATCTTGTGATTGCGAAGACGTCATATTCATTTTCTTCGGTCGCAAAAAATAATTGCATGACAACCAAAAATTATATTTTCTGTTGATTTTCTGTTTCGGTTTTAAAATGTCAATCAATCATAGCCAAACCTAACAAACTTACAACTCCTTAACTGATGCTGAAAAAAGGAATATATATTTTTATTTTGCTTAGTGTCTATTTAAAATTGGCGTAGCTCAAAGTTTTAATAAATAAAAAAAAAAACGTTACCTATGTGGTAGTGGCACTGAATTAAAACATTTCCCTAAATTATGTACATAAAATACTACCTGGCTGCATTGCTCCTCTTTGAATACCAGCTGCTTGCATCAAGTAGTACATGACGGGTGGTTTGTGAATGACCAATCTGTAGCTCCTGTCTGGGTTCACATATACTCTGATGGGCAGTGGAATTCCTGCCTTTATATCTTTGGTCTTTTCATTGAAGTCTTTTACGAATGCTGCAATGTTTATTCCTCTCTGGAACAGATAAGAAGAAGCTATGGAACTGATGAAAAATGTAGCTAACTTATCAGCAAAATAACAGCAGGCATTCACAGTAGGCCTACCTGTAGGCTTAGTCAGAGCTCAATTTGTAAAAAAAATTAAGTGCCGGAATTGTAACCTATTTTATGTCATTACTACCAGAGTACCTTATGTAATACCTTATGTGTACCTTATGTAATACCTATTTATGCCAATATTTTCATCTTTTTTAAAGAGAGGTACCAAAACGCCATTCCGCCGCAAATCGAGCACTGAGCTTAGTCTCTTACGAGATTTACAGAGTGAAAACAATGTCCCGGAACAGTAAAATATTTCAAAAAGTATTAAAGATATAGCCTAGCTACAAAAATTGGTACTTACAAAGTTACTAAGCATTAAAATAATTTTAACACATTATTCAGTGATATGCTACCTCCTCAGGGGGACGGCTGGTGACAGGCGAAACTCTTAAATGTAAGCATTGGTTGATATGCGCATCAAATTAAATGTCTTTCTTAGTAAAACACAATGCTGCAAACCGGACCTCAAACAGACAACCGAGTCAAAAATTACAGCTAGACAAAGATTCATTAAATTTGCAATGCTATTATATGTCACCTCCTCAGGGGAACACCCGCTAGTGGACGGAAGAAAATCTTAAACACAAGCAGGGTAAAAACTGGATAATGTATGCAAATTGCCCATCATCATTGGTCATCATTATATCTGATAAAGACAACGAAGCACTAGAAATAAAATCTTATATTGTTCTAAAAATGGCTACCTATTGAATTTTGCAACACGAACGACCACATTTTCAACAAATCAAAGACACGACAGCTCAATTCTCGGAATATTGCGGGAAGAGGTATCGGCCTTCTCCAATCTTGATTGAGTTGAAGCCTCCAATCATTTAGGGGTAATAACAGAAAACGGCCTGACATGGAGAGATCACCTGGACGGACTATGCAACAAGCTAAGTAGCCTAGTGCCCTATTCACTCATCGAAGAGTAAAAAGGTATCAGAAACTCTGAAGCAGTCAAAACCACCTACAGCTCTTTATTAGAGAGCCATCTACTATATGGAATCATAACCTGGAGGACGCCAGGTGACACAAAAACCTACTTATTAAATTCAAGAGAAGGTTGTTGGACTTCTTGTTTGAATTGGGAGGGAGAGCTGCAGATGTGCCTTTAGAGACCTAGAAATTTTAATCGTTGTAACCTGTATCTTTTGGAGTACATCTGCCTTGCCACATCAATGAGCCTACATCATAATGTAGATGTCCATAGTACCAGCCCTTTTACCCATAATACCAGACACGTACAGGACTTCAACCTCCCAGCTCATGACATGACAAGATTTCAGCAGAAACCAACTTATGCTGGAACAAGATTCTTTAATGCTTTCCCCAGGAAATGAAGAGCCTAAGTCCTGACACTGCCCCCAAAGCAGAACTACGGGCGACAGTGCGACATTGTTGCAGAAAGACGGCAAGAGCTGCAGAAAGCCCAGTCTGCAAAAAATATATAAATATTCAAAAATTGAAACATTGTTTCTTCATAATATTACCAAACGGCTAGATCATTATACAAAATAAACTTATCACACACTTTTTAAAACAGTTCAACTTAAAAAAAAAAAACTGTATTTTGTATAATAAATATTGAAACAGGCATAGTTAGGGCCACATGGTTCTTTATTACACTTAACCTGTATTAGTATCTGCAGAAAATACTATGTTGAAAGTCTACAACTTTATTTACTACAGAAAAATTCTAGTCCTGCAAACAGTAAAGCTACAAAACGTCTAAAAATGCTAAAACAGGCAAAGTTAGGGCCACATGGTTCTTTCTTACAATTAACCTGTATAAGTAATGCTGAAAATGCTAGGCCTACATAAGAAGTTAGGCCTACCTAATAAAATTGTTTTTTTTTGCAAAAAATAACTTAGCCTAAGTTAGCTTAGGCCCTAGCCTATACTGTAGAAAGTCCACATATTTATTTTCTACAGAAAAATTCTCCGTTCTGCAAACAGTAGCCTAACGCTATGGTTGCACTTTCGTTTACGTCCTACATTTACTATTATACATTATACATTAACTAAACTTACCAGCTGGTTATAAAATGAAACTGTTCAATACTCAGTGCATTGATCATGAATAAGAACGCATAGAATAACCAAATTACTAAAGCCATTCAATGTAACTTAATAACAGTCCCTAGGTGTATTTGAGCGGTTACGAGCATTTGAAAACTTATTTATTTCCAAATATTCATTAAAACTATCACACACACAGATCTTTTACAGGCTGCAGTTTCATAAGTGTCCCGCGGAACAATTGAATGAATATAACTTACAGTAGGCTAACTTATAACTTTCATTTGATTGATCTGCAAAACACATATGAACGGCTGTACTTTACTTTAGGTCCTACACTCATTTGAATGAAAATATTGTTTATTCATCGTTTGGTTAGTTAGGTTCATTCGAATGAGTGCAGGACCTAAAGTTCAGCCATATGAACTTTAACTGTCTGAAATTTAAAATAGACCTAATTATGAAATTAAGCTAAACAAAAACTTTCTGCTTTGGGGACCCTGGCAAGTAGGGAGTTAAGTTACCTACTGAAATGGCTGCTAACTTACTCAAAGCATCAAAGAGTACAAAAAACGTAAAAATGATATTTTGTAGCCTATAACAACATTACGTCACAGATGTAAACTGTATTTCTATGACAAAATTTTCAATCTTGACGATTGTAAAAAGAAGAATCTCTGTCTCTCTCCCTATAGTGTAAGCCTAACCAAAAACGGGTTGGACCAAATTAATATAGGCTATAGAATTCAACTTATTGATCGCAAAGCAATTGGGTACACTTCCATATCTGTTGGCACAAACAACTAATAGAATTAAACAATTGAATAATCAATTACTCATTCGGCTGTTTGTGCCAACAGATATGGAAGTGTACCAGAATTTATTGATAACAGGTTTTGAATACATATGCCTATTAGGCGTAGGCTTACCTGCCCCAACATGGGACCTAGAGGAGGGTTAGGCGAAGCCTTGCCTGCTGGAACAAAAGTTCTTATTTTGGTTGAATGTTCAATCTTCTCTATTGCCTTTTTCACAGTCCTGATTTTCCCTGCTGCTCTTGACATTTTCTCGAATTCCTGTTATTTTTCAATACAACTACATAAAATATGAATAAGGTCAACCGGTCTATGTTAGAAGTCTTCACCCGACACAAGAATATAATAAAATAAAATATACTACTGTACGTACACAAACAAAAACAAACCCGTACCCCTCCCTTGCATTGACCATTGACCCTCTATAACTAAACTAACCTAAAAATTGATAGAAAGTAAGAAGAAAACAGCAGTAGGAGCAGACAGCCATTCACACGAAGCCCATGAGCCCATGCCCATGACCATGAGATACATCAGCCATCAGGGCCCATAACAATGATTTTTTTATTGCTAGTTCATTTTTGGCAGGCTTAGTTTTGATGTGCAGTTTTGTTGGACATAATAATACCTAAATAGGAGAAGAGGGAACGTTAATAATCTTTAAAGGCAATTAGACTAAGCCAATTTCCATTTACTGGATTTTTTTAATTATAAAATATTGTTTTAAAATTATAAAATAAATTTTTAAAATAAAACTGTCATAACATAACCTAACCAACCAGACTTGCTGATAATATAAAAAACCGTATAAGATAAAAATCTAATTAATGATTACTTATAATTTTTAATTAATTATAAAATTAATTTTAAAATTTATTATTATAAAATTAAACTCCTAACCTAACCTAACCAACCAAACTTGCTGATATGAAAAATTTGTTGACAAAAAGTTAGTGCTACCAGTGGAATTCGAACCCGGGACCTCCTGAACACTAAATCGAAACGAAACGCTACTAACCATGCCACGAACGCCGCTGCTCTTACGGTTCAGGAGCTATAACCAAAAAACTGTGGGTGGGGCCAACTTCACGGAAGTTAGCCCCCCCCCCAGTAGTAATATGTGAGCACTAACTTTCAAAACTGTACCAACGGTTAGTGCTGGTTAGTGCTTCAACTCCCATCGTTAGTGCTCTTACGGTTCAGGAGCTATAACCAAAAAACTGTGGGTGGGGCCAACTTCACGGAAGTTAGCCCCCCCCAGTAGTAATATGTGAGCACTAACTTTCAAAACTGTACCAACGGTTAGTGCTGGTTAGTGCTTCAACTCCCATCGTTAGTGCTCTTACGGTTCAGGAGCTGTCAAAAAACAGTTTTTACGAGTTTAAATGAGACAATATAGTATTAATCTTAATCTTTCATTGACTTAATAATATACAGTACTAGCTATTTAAAAACAGTACAGTTTTTCATTTTGTTAACATGAATGAAACTAATGAGTGTATTATTCTATTTTATCAACCAATTATTATATATTATTTTATATATATTTTAATAATATATAATAAACCAATTATTATATAACAAATGTTTAATTAAAAACACTAATACAATCTCTAGTTTTATTAATGTTTACTAAATATTTTAGTTAGCTTTGAACAAGCTATTTTTAAATATACAGGGTGTTGAAAATGTCTGGAACCAACATTATATCTGGTGAGTGGTTAAAGAAAAACAACTGATATTTTGTGTACGGATATACTATGGTTTTACCTATCTTTTGGTGCCTTATGAAAATTTTTACCACTTATAGGGGACGTCCTGTCGAGGATGCAGTAAAAAGTTTTAATGGAAGCCTATGGTAAATGATACATCGTTTTAAAGGCCATATTTTTCTGAGTAAGGAGCCACAAATTTCATCTCAAAAGGACCTCCCTAGCAAAAATGGCGACTGTTTGAAATTTTAAAAACCACTTATAGGGAACGTCCTGTGGAGGATGCAGTAAAAAGTTTTAATGGAAGCCTATGGTAAATGATACATAATTTTAAAGGTCATTTTTTTCTGAGTAAGGAGCCACAAGTTTCATCTCAAAAGGACACCCCTAGCAAAAATGGCGACTGTTTGAAATTTAAAAATTCCGTTCCCTATAAGTGGTTTTTAAAATTTCAAACAGTCGCCATTTTTGCTAGGGTGGTCCTTTTGAGATGAAACTTGTGGCTCCTTACTCAGAAAAAAATGGCCTTTAAAATGATGTATCAAATTCTATAGGCTTCCATTAAAACTTTTTACTGCATCCTCCACAGGATGTTCCCTATAAGTGGTAAAAATTTTCATAAGGCACCAAAAGATAGGTAAAAGCATAGTATATCCGTACACAAAATATCAGTTGTTTTTCTTTAACTAACCACCAGATATAATGTTGGTTCCAGACATTTTCAACACCCTGTATATGGACTATATTATATTTTTTATAAATAGATTGATAATAAGTCAATAAAATATGAAGATTAAAATTTTTAAACTACAATTGAACTATGCTCAATTGTAAAAAGGGTTTTTATAGGTTACATGTACTAGGATAACTTCTCTAAGGAATTTTCCTTTCATTTCAAGCATTAAAAAATGTGGGGAGCCTAGTTGATACAATTTGGTGGAGCTGTCTTTGAATCGCCTCGTGAATATGGCCTCGGAACTAGAGATTCATTACAACTCCTGGACATTCAGTAACCAGCACTAGACATTGATACCATTTTGAAAGTTAGTACTGTATATATTTTTACTGGGGTTGGCTAACTTCCGTGAAGTTGGCCCCACCCACAGTTTTTTTTGGTTATAGCTCCTGAATCGTAAGAGCACTAACGATGGGAGTTGAAGCACTAACCAGCACTAACGAAGCACTAACCGTTGGTACAGTTTTGAAAGTTAGTGCTCACATATTACTACTGGGGGGAGGGCTAACTTCCATTAAGTTTTCCTCACCCACAGTTTTTCGGTTATAGATCCTGAACCGTATGAGCACTAACGATGAAAGTTGGAGCACTTACCAGCACTAACGAAGCACTAACCGTTGGTACAGTTTTGAAGGTTAGTGCTCACATATTACTACTGGGGGGGCTAACTTCCGTGAAGTTGGCCCCACCCACTGTGGTTTTTCGGTTATAGCTCCTGAACCTTAAGAGCACTAACGATGGGAGTTGAAGCACTAACCAGCACTAACGAAGCACTAACTATTAATACCGGTACTAGTTTTATTGTTAGTGCTTTTATGGGGGGGGCTAACTTCACGGACCTAGAACACACATCGTTTCGTTACAGTAATCGTGTTGCCTCAAGAGTAGACATTAGCCACTAGAGATATGACGTCACTACACCCATAGCCTTAGTCCCTCCCGTGTGCCCATTCCGCTAACCGGTTGGTATTTGTGTTTGTTTGTTAAGTTTGTGTTTGTACTTTGTTTTTGTATTTATTTACGAACGGGAACGAACGAAAGATTGGTCACTGCACTGGACTTCGTGTTTTTTGTGGTTTGGTTGGTTGTTTAGATTTGTTAGTAGAATTAGAAGTTTGACTAGTTTGAGTTTCGTTTCATTTCATTACCGCTTCCTTCCTTAATTTAATTTTCATCTCATTCCGGTATGCGGAAAATACCTACAACTTGAGGTTGGTAAAAAGTTTTCAAGCAAGGTAACTTAGGCTAACATTACTAATAATTTTTGGGTAATACTGATAGTCCAGGCGCTAAACGGGTTGAGTATGCACTGAAAGTCTGACAAAATTTGACTTTTGATTATTGTTGGGGACATCTAGTAGATGAAAAAAATCGATGATGTCGCATTTCTAGGGTGGTCACAACTCGGTGGGGAGGGGGGGAAGTTGCGCGGGTCATCGGTTTACGTTTCCGCGTCTAACTCGCAAACGGTTAATGATAGAAAGGTGAATTAAGCGTATATCTACGCCTAAATATCTTGTATTTCAAAAAGGTTATTACAACCTTTCTTCTATCTCTTATACGTTAGGCGCTAATCAACATTTATTCCAAAAAATAAAATTTAAAAATACTTAAAAATGAAATATCGGAAATATTGCGCTTGTTTAGGGCAAGTTACAAACTATTTATGGTTAGAAAAACTAACAAGTAGTACAACAACACCAAGTTTAAAGAAATCCGTGCAAAAACAACAGAGCTACGTTGATTTCAGTAAGAGTAAACGTGGAAAATTCGTAGTAGTACCGAGGCGCGCATGGACGGTACGTAGACCACAGTCGATATAGGTTTGATGTTGTAAGTAACTATGGGAAAGCTGACTTTTTCTATGCTGTTAGACCATGTTGAGATGAGCATTTTCCCAAAAGTCCCCACTCCTACCCCTTTGTGCTTTCCTCTACCCCCCCCCCCTTTTAGATAAATTTACAGTCTCTTAGAAATTAAGCTATAACTTTAAAACGGGTATGGATAATAACGCAATCTTTTATTAATCATTTTGCGTTACGATATTCTACAAAAAGTGTTTACCATGGTATCGTAAATATTCATAGTTTAAAAATATCATAAACATAAAAAAATATTTTTTACGGATTAATTTATTAAACTTTTTTGTAGATTTTTTTATACGAGGTTGCACAACAAAATGTTTGATACAAAATTTGGGGTGCATAGTTTACATTTTTAAATGATACATAGTTATTAACAGTTTGTTTGCATATAGTAGTTATAGATAGTATTGATTTTACAGGACTCAGGCTTTTTTGTGCACCGCAATAATGAAAAAAAATTACGTATATTATGGTTTTTGTATTTGAATTTGCCGCTTTATATAGATTATATTAACGTTATGTACCTCATTCAGTACATATTATACAGACTGTAGTGGATACATATGAATGAATATCGTGCATTTGCTGCTGTTCGCCAGAGCCTCATTTTATTATACAGGGTGTCTCACCTAAAGTGAACCAATAGATAACTTTTTTATAATGAGATATAGAGTTAACTTCTTATGGGACACTACCCTTTATTTTAAGATGTTTTTTTTTAGTGGTTTCGAATTTTAAAAATATGTTCGCCATTTTCCAATATGGCTGACAACTTTGTTAGTCCTATGGAATACCCTGTATTTTATGATTGTTTTAGAATGTAAACGCACAACTTTTAAACCTTTTTATTTTTGACATTTTTCTCTAAAGCTACTTGTTTAGGAGTTACATCGAAAAAGAAATGGTTTGTGAGTACATCCTGCATCCTCACAGCTCATAAACGTAAGTTTAAGAGCGGAAATACAAAGAATAAACAAGTTTTCAAATCACATCTACATTTAAAAAAAAACCATAAAATAAATTGTTCCAATATCAAAGTAAGCTAGCATCTTTGAAAATGGTGGCCATTTTTAAAACAACAAAATCAGTATTTTGTAACGTATTTTATATATTTTTTTGAACGAGGACTTATATGTGACTTATTTATTCTTTGCACTTTCTCTCTCAACTTACTCGTTTATGAGCTACAGGATGCCGAATGTACACCACAAGCCTTTATTTTAGATATAACACGCTGTAACTCCTAAATGGGGTAGGTTTAGAGAAAAAATGTCACGAATAAGAAAATAGCTTTTAAATTGTAAAAGAATACTAAAATACAGCGTATTCCATAAGAAATAACAAAGTTGTTGGCCATATTGGAAAATTGTGGATATATTTTTTTATTCGTAACCATCCCTAAAAACATTTTTTACAATTAAAAGGGGTCGTCTAATAAAAAGTTAACTCTATATGGAAAATAAAATTTGTGTATGTTCACTATGTAATCTCAACCGAGATGAAACGTGTACCCTTTTATAGCAGAATCTCCAATTTAAAAAAAGATACGTCAATTGTGGTCTAACAAGTTATATTTAAATGAATATGAGTTTTTTTTTGAATTTTTAATGGCAAAGATTGGCTGGCACTTGGAAATTATCTTAAAGAGGCGTGGAGTAAAGGGTGGGAATTGATAATGGAGTATAATTATTAAATTTAAGAATTGAGATATCGATACAAAAATTTGAAAAATCTATGTAATTTTAAAAAAATTTTAAATATTGTTTGTTAAGTATCTATCAAAGTAAATTATAAAAGTAACAGGTTTGTTTTATGAATTATTAACTGTTTGTAGGAAAAATTCAGATTCTCAGTAGGCTACATTAAAATTTTATTATTCATTCAATTGTTATCTGATCTTTATTAGTATGTAGTGCTATTTGTGTATGTTCTGTAGTGGAAATCAGTTTATTTTATGAATAATTGTATGTGATTCATGGCATTTTTTAAACGGTTTTAAAATATTTTAAAATCAGTGTGTCTAACACAAAACAGACGGTCTTTGACCATTGTTCTTTGCATTTAAAAAGAAAACACTGTATTGATATTTTATTACAATGAACACATTTTCTTCTTCTTCATCATCTGTCTTCTTCATCATTTATTCATCTAATAATTCTTTTTGTAGATTATCGTAATGCAAAATGATTAATAAAATATTGCATTATTATCCTTACCCGTTTTAAAGTTATAGCTTAATTGCTAAGAGGCTGTAAATTTATCTAAAAAGGGGGGTTAGAGGAAAGCACAAGGGGGGAGGAGTGTTGACTTTCGGGAAAATTATAATCGCAACATGGTCTAACAGCATAGAAAAATTCAGCTTTCCCATAGTTAATTACAACATCAAACCTATATCGACTGTGGGCTACGTACCGTCCATGCGCGCCTCGGTACTACTACGAATTTTCCACGTTTACTCTTACTGAAATCAACGTAGCTCTGTTGTTTTTGCACGGATTTCTTTAAACTTGGTGTTGTTGTAATACTTGTTAGTTTTTCTAACCATAAATAGTTTTTAACGTGCCCTAAACAAGCGCAATATTTCCGATATTTCATTTTTAAGTATTTTTAAATTTTATTTTTTGCAATAAATGTTGATTAGCGCCTAAAGTATGAGAGATAGAATAAAGGTTGTAATAACCTTTTTAAAAGACAATATATCTAGGCGTAGATAGACGCTTAATTCACCTTTCTATCATTAACCGTTTGTGAGTTAGACGCGGAAACGTAAACCGATGACCCGCGCAACTTACCCCCCTCCCCCCCGAGTTGTGACCACCCTAGAAATGCGACATCATCGATTTTTTTCATCTACTAGATGTCCCCAACAATAATCAAAAGTCAAATTTTGTCAGACTTTCAGTGCATACTCAACCCGTTTAGCGCCTGGACTATGAACTTTTTGTTGTAAATATCGTCTAAAATAACAACTCATCTTGTGGATCAAAAATTAAGTTAATTTAATAGTAAAACAGATAGAATGAAAACCTAGATTTGTGTATACATCTTACTTCATCAAAATATAACAAACAACTAATTTCTGTTACCAAGGAATTATCATATGTTCTTTCCTGCCTATAGGCTAATTAACTTATTATGGACATTATAATATGAATAAACTATATCTTTAACACTTTTACTACTTAGGCCTATGTTATGAATTTTTTGCCTTTTCTACCAAAATTAGACTAAGATGACTAATTAATAATATAACTTAGGCTACTACCGTATGGTAGGCCTACAATTTACCTCCAAGTAGGCCTGACTTAATCCAATTTTTGGCTGCACTTTACTTGATGTCCTACACTCATTCGAACGAAAATATCGATCGATATATCGATTAATTGATTGCTTCATTCGATATATCGTTTGGTTAGTTAATAAGGTTAACCTAACCTAACTAACCAAACGATATATCGAATGAAACAATCGAATGAAAATATCGAATCGAACAAACAATCGAATGAGTGTAGGACGTCAAGTAAAGTGCAGCCCAATTTTTTTTTGATATCAGACAATAGACAAGTTAATCTACAAGTTTCGCTGTTAACTTAATGTGGCATCGTCAGGTTAAAAACCACACACGTCATTGCTGTCACACGCACACAATAAATAAACATGAACGAACAGTTTTTAAGTAAATAAGTTACCTACATTAAGTTAGGCCCATCACACAAAGTGGATGTGTGATAGGCCTAATTTTTGTTCATGTTTATTTAAGTTATTGTGCTGTGTGTGTGACAGCAATCCGCTCACCTCTTGGATTAACAAATTAAGGTGAGCCATTTTTCGAAAAATAGTAATGATGACGTATGTTTTTTACTTTATCTTGTGTCTTGCCTTCCGGATTACTTCATGAATTGTACAAGAAATAAATTAAACTGTTAAGGTTAAGTTACCTTGATTCTGTCCAAGTAATCCTTAAGTCGTCATTACTGCAACCGGTTTCGATGTCTATGGCATCATTGTCAAGCTGAACGTAAAATCGGTCCTAGGAGGTCGTCATGAGTCTTGAAAAACACGTAACACATAACACGTACACAAACAAAAACGATAAAATGCATGGCCACACATTTATTATGTTTTTTACCCTGACAATGCCGCATTACTGGCAAAAAATGACATCAACCAAAATTTGGATTAACTGAAGTTAGGTCCCTACTTTGTGAGGTATAAATTTTACTTACGACAATAGGAAACTTATTATTTGTTATAACAAATTTAAGTTAGGTACTCTGCTATAGTTTCACCAGTACTTTTGTATTATACGGAGGCTACTCATTTTACAGCGCGCTGCGGCGGTTAGGTTAGGTTGGCTTATCATGTTTGTAAGACTACCAGATGAGTTATACAAAATTTATGATAACCCAACCTAATCTTTTCCGCCGCAATGCGCTCTATAAGGTTGGCCTCCGTACAATACGAAAGTACCGTTTCATGCAACCTAAGGAAGGGTAAGACATGGTTGGAAGTAAACCTTTGCCTAGACGTACGGGAAAAATTCAAGTGGATGATTTAATTCATGTTAAGGCCTAGAAGTAATTAGCCTATAAGTTACATATTACCTTGTGTTTCAATTATTAGAAATGACAAACCGGAATATGCAAGTTAACATCTTAAGTTAAATCTACGCTTACTGTGTACAGAAAGACATCTGCCTGTGGATGTGTAGAATTCCTTTTTAAATTAAAATAGGCTAAAAAAAGCACAAAAATGAGTTTAAAACAAATAAAAATAACATCCATAGGTTGCCAGATGCTGGTGACGAAATAGTAACGAAATGCAAACAGAAAATCAAAACAAACAGAAGAAATTCTAATCACATGCTTTATTTGCAGCGTGGGGTGAAAATAGAGAAGTTTGCTCAATACTTTTTTTTTGTCAAGTTTTTGACCACAGGGCGACCTCTAGTTTTAAGTTTCAACAAATAGGCTAGAGTAATGTTGTAGGCAGGGGGGCATAAAAAAGTAAGAATCCGTCCTAGCTCACAATCAAAATTAATTTTGTTTAGTTGCAGGAGGCACTAGGCAGTCTTTGAAATGTGGATCAAGTTTTTATTAGTTCCTTTGACAGGCTCGGTTTTTACAATCTACTTAATAAAGTAAGTATCTCACTTAAAGCATACTAGGCTATTTAAGTTAGTTTTGCTGTTATGCATTTTAAAATAAAACATTAATGTTCTAAAAATAGTCTGTTCTAAAAAAAGTGTTCTAAAATTAGTTATGTCATTTTACTAAATTCCCCTCTTTCCTTAAGGACATCCACTTGGAAATCTCAGCTCAGGCTTTGGTAGCTATGTTACGCGATTGAACAGGGCCGTGAGAAGCGCTTGCAGACGTTCACGGCAACTGCCTCTGTTAACTACCCATACATGCTAGTAAAAAACAATGAGTGGGGTTTTACAGAACAAAGAACAATCTATGCTTCTCTGGTTTAGAGTTTTAAAGTAACAATTCTATAATGAGTTTTAAAGCAGTTTAAAATTGCTGTTTTTCGTCTACATTCAAAGAAGATTTTCAGGCTTTATGGTACGATATTAAAAATATTGAAACCACAACACTCTAGATAATTTAATCCTCTTCAAATGCCACCCTAACTTTGATTCTACGTTAAGTGTAGCCTTCGGAAACACGGTTGCCCCAGACCCTTGCGTTTACACAAAACGGCAGAGGTAGGGCGGACCCTTAAAGGTGATGTGCCATTGTAAGATATCAATATAGGCTAGGCTAGCCTATTCTTTAGTCACCAACTATAGTCACAAACTATTTGATCTTCCCTAATGTTACCTCGGACTTCCTCCCTCACAAAATTTAGGCCTGGTCTCGTCAAAGTGCCATAAGATCCCTGCATGTATCTGTAATCTTAAATTCTAGTTTTCAGATACTGGCCGTTTCTGATTTTAATTCTATGTAATTACTGCATAACAAACACTAGCTGTTAGGTCATGCTAATTGTGCAGGGATTTATTAATACTAGAGGTCGTCCAGTGGTCAAAAACTAAAAATACCCCCGCCGCAGCAAACCTGCAGGTTAAGCGAATTTCAACTTGTCTGATTACATTTTTACTAAAATATTTCCATAAATAAGACATATTTATTCTCTATTTAAATAACATTAGATTTAACGAGTGCTTAGGTTTGCTGCTACGGGGAAGGTAAAAAGTGTTTTTGACCATACGTCAATAGTATAGGATGAAATAAATAAATTTGCCAAATTTTATCAATATGTATCAATAAACAATTAAACTACAACAATTTTCATTTTCTCCATAAGAACAACACAAGAATTTTAAATTGCACTATTTTTTAATTTTCATCGTGACCGTTAAGAATACAACAGCGCTTAATATACTAAATTGTTTCATTTTCATATAGGCCTACTAAAATCTGATCATTTTTGCTCGAGTTATCGCGCTAACGGACACATATATATATGAATTTGAACGAATGGTGTTTTTGGCCACTAGGGACCTCAAAATGAAAAATTAAATTTGTCCCGGGTCCAGGTCTTGCCATGAGTACTACGGTAATAGCTTATTCCCTATAAGGGAAATTCGTGAAAAAAAATGTAATGTATAGACTTCTCTATTTTCACCCCAAGCTGAATATATAAAACATGTGAGTTATTTTAAAACTTATAACAGTCATAATTTTCAATGAGTTTAACTGGCAATATGACGATTTTCGTCACATGTATGTGTGTCTGTACTTCGAAAATACCCATATGACAAAAATCGTCATATAGTGTCACTTTCTTTTAAACAGCTTATTATAACTCATTTAAAATTATTTCAAAACAAAATAATTTTGATAGGTAGGGCCTACTATTCAAAAGATGTGATTCTTAACTTTCATTTTCATATTATATTAACAAATCTTATAGCTTTAACAGACCAATTTTATTGTCGTTACGATTTGAATGAAAATTTAGGTGCGAGACGATTTTGAGTTTGCCACGTCAATTCATTACTCCATGTTTAATAAATCGTAGCGCCGATAATCTTACATGAAACCGGTTGTGGTTCGTGTCAATAGTAGGCCTAACACTTTGTTCTGGAGTTTATTTTTGTATCAAGAATCATGTGATTATGTCAGACAATTTGGGAAATAATATTTAGAAATAAGCTGACATTTGAACTGACGAAAATCACCATTTAGGCAATGACTAATAAATCAATAAAGGATTGTGTTTTTATTGACATTCATCATTTCAATAAAAATTGGGACATTCATCCAAACCATCAGGGCAGTCCTAGGGTTAAAAGACTTAGGCCTAACTAAAAGCTTATGTAACTAATGGAAATAATCACACTGTTCACAATAATAATTTATTTATATTATTGTTAACAATAACAATAATTTTTCAAAAGCTGACCTTGTTTTTAGTGTTTTCTAAAAATGTTTTCCGATTTATCGCATAAAGTTGTACGTGATTCATCATTGATATTACATGGTATCCATTGTCCATTTGTCTATTGTCGCCAGTATGTTTACAAAATGCAGTATTTTTTAAATAGCAATTATAAAACATTTTCAAATTACTACCCGATTTCCTGCATAATCCGTCCGTCAAAATTTTATTCGCTTCAACATTCTTTTGGTTAGTTAATTTTTAACTTTAAAATCACTTGACTTTTATGGAAACAGAGATTAAATATCATTGAAGTACCAGTTTTCCTTTGCCTTAGAGGGGTTTCCTCTGCAATGATCACAAATTCCATGGTCCTTCAAAAAATTGTAGCACTTCGGCTAACATTTTCATTCACCGTTTGTACTGTAGGAACCAAAGTTGTGTCATTATGTAGACTAAAAAAAATTATCTGTATTCCTTCTACTTGGTGGCGTTCTATAACTTTTTCTATGTTTCCATAATTTGCAAATCGGTTCTTTCAATGATTGCTCAAGAAATACAGTACTGCGTCATTTTAGTTTTCTTATTTTGTGAAATATATCAAATTGCCTAGGCTTTCTTGCCTTTTTCCATATTGATACAAAAGCAAAACCACAATTTATCTAAGTCAGGAAATGTGTGTGGAAATGTGTGGAAATGTGAAATGTGCGTTTCCTTGAATATTGTAATTTAAAATATTAACAGCAAATAAATTATCCAGCTAATCATAATGTAAACAAATAATGATAACATGGAAACTCTAAAAGCCACTGAGGCAGAGCTCAGGTGACTTGTTCAACATGCAAGACCTTATATGATATCTACTGAATGAGATCTTTCCGATGAGCCATAAACTAACAAAATCGGATGAGAAACCACGGAGGACTTCTGCCGACACTTGCGTATTTTATATATTAATTAGCCCCATGTAAAATCTCCATAAGAAAAGTTTAACATCCATTTTTGACCCAATTAACATTAATATTTTCAAATTACAAATAAAATCTGCACCTATAGGACCGATAACCTTTCTTTTGGTAAAACCCATGTATAATTCAGTCCAGTAGTATGGTTAGGCTAGCTGTCATAAGTTTTGCAAACGTTTTTTAATATCATATAAAAATACCCCCGCCGCAGCAAACCTACAGACTAAGCGAATTTCACCTGGCCTGATTACATTTTTACTAAACTATTTCCACAGGGTGTCTACCAACCGGGAAAACCGGGAATTGTACTTAATTTTTTACTGGCCATGAAATGTACGGGAATTGTCCTTAAATGCCAGACTATGTCCTTAAATTTTTAATGGGCCATAATTTTATCGATCGCTAGTTGGTTAGGAGCACATAAAAGGTTTATCAGATGTTTGTTTACATTTTCATAATTTATTACTAGAGTAATAAAACCCCTAATAAAAACCAAATATGCAATAAAAACCCCAGCATTCTCAAACCCATTAATATTTTATCACGACAATCAAGTGTCAAATGAAGTACTTCCAAGAACTGTTGATTCAGTAGTAGTTTAGCTCATAAAAGCTGTATCACTTTTATTCCTTTACAACATTTATTTATTACTAGGGTAATCATTATTAGATCCCAAACATATTTTATCATGGAAATAATAGTTTTATAATGGTTGTTAAATTTCACTTCTTACTTGTACTTCAATTTGCCGCTGGCCATTGCCTAGGGTCATAAAACTGTTTATGGTTTCATATAAAACATGTAACTATAATCTTAAACATAACTAAATTAAACCCTTTTTTTATGGATATTTTATCTTTCAATTGACAAAACCAAAAGCATCATTGTTTGCATTACATTTTTATCACTACGTAGGCCTACTTGGTTTCAAATGATGTCATAGCATTTTCTGTATCTTTGTACATTGTTGGCAGTCAGGTTTCAATGTTTTTTATTTCCCATATTTATTTATTGAGTTGTATGCTTTAAGCAATCTAAATCTTATTAACTATTATTAACTATCTTTTTATCTTATTATCTTATTGTAGTGACTTTGCTGTATAACCTCATAGAGGTCGTGCGGAACGAGGTGAAGCCTGAGATTTTCGGCAGGAACGGTCTAAAGCGGGGAAATCCGTGGTGGGGGTAAGAAACGAGCCGATCACCGCCTCGCATAGCGACACTTCCCCCGCCACACCACTATTCCCCTCCAAGCTTCACCTCGTTCCGTACGACCTCTAGTTTGTTTCTCAGTTTATATAGGCCCTCCTAAATAATTAGGCCTAGGCCTGGGTATTTTGATTCTTTGAAAGTGCTGTAAAATATACTAAGAAAATGTAATTGAGCCTAAGATAAAGTAATGATTGCTATGTGTCGATATTAACTTTGCAGATGAAAAGACAATAATCTTACTCTGTGCTTACTGGTACCGATTTGTACCTAGAACCGAGTTACAATATATTCATATGCATTAAAGATTTTTTTTTTTCAAAAGTAGTTGAGGACCTAACGTTGTGCCAGGGCGAATAATGCCAAATTAATCCACCTGCATCGGATAAGCTATGTTATGATGTTTCCGTGACCGATGGAGATATTTAGGATTTTGTCGCTATTGCAGGAGACATTGATTGCGTTTTTCTGTTAACACGTTCACTGCTAAAGGAAATTATAAAATCGAATCGTATTGCTAAAAAACTTTATTGTTGTATAACATTCCTTTTTGTGTCCTTATTGAAATACAATATTATATAATACGATCGGAAGTGAATATGACGTCAAAAAGTGACGTCATAATAATGGGTCAGTACTGACCCATCAGGAGCCAGAGTCAGAAAAAATGGAAATGTCACTGAATACATTATATATGTCACTAAAAATATATTTTCTAAAGATATATTTGGTCATTATGATAAAATAACCAACATAAAATAGTATATCAATTGATTGGAATTGATTATGACTTCATAATTTGACGTCATATACATGGGTCAGTGCTGACCCATAAAGAACCGGAGTATAAAAAATTTAAATATAAAACAAAAATGAGATATATATAAAAGATTTGAAATGTTAATATTATTGAAATAAAATAGTTTAAAAAATAATTGAAATTGAATATGACGTCATAAAGCACAAAAAAGTAGTAAAGCGAGGGGCTTTCACAGTATCGTGGGTCAGTACCGACCCAGCCGCCACGGCGGGAGCGAGACGCGGGAACCAACTCAACGGTGAACAAAGCAAGTCACACACTACACGCTAACGTGGTTTAGGTCCACCTTCGACTGACGCTAGGCTAGCACTGAGCAACATATTGATTCACTGCAGTGTGGGTTAGTACTGACCCGGCAGCATGAGCGATTCGATCGCCGTGGGTCAGTACTGACCCACCCGCAGCGAACGTGTTAAACTATAAAAGCTGTACCTAAAGTATATGTTTGTTTACTTCAATAAGTTTCTATTTTGAAATTTAATTCTTGTCTATTATATTTTACTTTTCTCTCTGGAACAACCACGAAGAACAAGATTAATACAGTTTGACAAATCAGGAATATTATTCTGTAATCACACCAACAAAGGTCCTTAAATGTACGGGAATTGTCCATGAATTTTTTATCCAGAATGTAGTAGACACCCTGTTCCATTAATAAGACATATTAAACGTAGGTTTACACGTTTGTACCAAATTTCATCAAAATCGGACCATTTTTGCTCGAGTTATCGCGCTAACGGACACATATATATTTAATAATATATTAAATATAGACCGTCAGCCGTTACGATAGGTTCTGGCGCACACCCCTGGGAGCGCCATTTAGTTACGGCGTGTGCGTCAAAACCTATGGTAACCATGGTAACTGCAGCACGGCTGACAGTCTATATTTAATTCTTTTTGTCAATGTTAATATACAAGATTTCATTTCAACCAAGTTAGTAAAATGTTTGTAGAACACGTTTCCTTAACGCAACTAAAATATTAACAGCAATTAAATTATCCAGCTGATCATAATGTAAACAAATATGTTCTTCATAAGGATAACATGGTCACTTGAAAAAGAGCCCAATGGAATTTTTCAATAAATGTCAGGTCAGTTGCAAATCTACACACCTGGACTAACATTTTGGTATATAATAGTGGGGTTGAATCTTAAAACAAAAAAGCCTTATTGTTCACAAAATTTCATGAAGAGTATTTATAACTAGTGTCGAATTCGAGCAATTGCTAAGTATTACAGGTGTTATTTTATAACGAATATCAGTCATAATTTCTGATGACTTTAAAAGATTTGACTCAAAGATTATGGAAATACTCAAGATGTGCATAACAGATCGATATAATCAACATTTGTTGTAAATATCTTATAATTTTTCAAAAGCTGGTCTTGTTTTTTTAGTGTTTTCTACAAATAGCCTTACTCATAGCCGCATTAGGTTGTCCATAATAACGATTATAAATATAAAAAAAACAACATTATTTCTTTTCTTCTCCTTGGTGGTATTCTATGACTTTCCTATGTTTCCATAGTTTGGAAATCGGCTCTTTCAATGATTACTAAGAAATGCAGCACAGTGTTAATTCAGTTTTCTTTTTTAGTATATCAATTTATCCAGGCTCTCGCTTTTTTCCATTGTATTTACGCCAACCCAAATTCAAATAGTAAATATTTAATTTTAACCAAGTCAATAGGATGCATATATTTTCCCTGCGATGCACACATGCTTGCCTATTAATATATAGATTTTTTCTACATACCAGTCTTTATTCCTTATAAATTCAGAGTACCGTATATCAAAGTTCCACTAACTCAAACATATTCAAGAGATAATTTATGATAATAGGTACAACATATGATGAACATTTTTATCAAATACCTACCTAGTACTAGATGATTCTAGTACCCAGGTTTCAGGGCAATTACTTCTTGCTTTGGTGAAAATATACATCCGTATACCTTTTTGAAGATAAAATGAGTAACGTATTATTGATAAACATTCCAATTTGGCATAATGTCTACTGGTCAGTTAACTTATGTTTTCCATGGTTTCAGACTTTTTCCGGGTACTCTTGGTTTAAACGTTTATGAAAATTAGAGCCTTTAAGTTAGTGATTAAAAAATGAATTGTTGATTGATACACACTTCTGCAGGAAATACTACAACGGAAAATCATGTAACTGCAATGTTAGCTTGAAAGGCAAAGTTATAATAATAACTGGAGGCAATTCAGGGATCGGCAAAGAAACTGCCACAATACTAGCTTCAAGAGGTAGGCTAATGTGATTTATTTATTCTGTAATAACTTAGAAAAAGTGTCATTTTCATAAAATGATCTTAGCTCAGTTATGATTTATTCTGATTCTCCAATTTGTTTACTCAGTGCAAACTAGTACAATTTGTTTTTAGTATCTTTTGCGTTGCAAGAAATTATACTCTCGATAGCCTGTGGAATAAAAAAATGTTAGTAGGTACTACATTGATCTTAAGATTGGCTACTGACAAATGTTTGCGATTTAAGTGGATTACCCCTATGATGTTTTTTATCCTCCATGGTTTTGAAAATCAAATCAATAGCCCTAAATTAATTAATTGTTAACATTCTTGTATGGGACTTTATACTTGTACCAGGAGCTTAAGATGTTTTAGAACTTAGGTAGGCCTAATTATTATTATTTTTTCCAATGGTAAGTATGTTACAAATAGTTGTGCCACCTGTATCAATGAAATATTCCTACATTTTTATGACGAAGGATCCATCCTAAACAAATATTTTACTGTAAATAGAATTTCTAAGGCCATATACCAACTAGTAGATAATTATCATGTACTAGTTGACAAATCGACGTCCTCAAAAACTTGTTGAAACGGACCGTATAAATGCATACTTAAATGACATAAATTTAGGAGAGCATTGTATTTAGACACGTGATCACTGTTCTCAAATCTTTCCCACGAGAACAATCGTTTCAGTACTAACCACTTCCTGCCGATCTAGTCCAGTTAAACCGATGTGCTGATAAAAATTTCCGGAAAAGAGATGTCTTTTCCGCCGAATCATCCGGTTAAACCGATGTCCGGTTAAAAGGTGTCCGTATAAGAGGGAGTCTACTGTAAGCCAAATTTGTTACTGTTTAAGAAGTAGAAAATATATTCTTGTACAGTTAAAAGTTCACACTGACTCGAGATCAAGATAAGGATGGAAAAGACAATTAGTATTATAAGAAACACTGCGGACAAGCCTTTTTATAAGGCTTATGCAGTTTTTGTATTATAAATTCATTGTATATGTGCTGTATCAAGTAATAAAAACAAAAATAAATCAAATAAACATATTAGGTTTAGGTTTATTATTAGTTAAAATCGTTAATAAAATATGAAGAATTTAAAAAATATTAAGTGATCAAAATCATCAACACAATCATTGTTTTTGCAGGTGCTGAAGTGGTGTTAGCTTGTCGGAGTTTGGAGAAGGGACGTGAAGCTGTGAATGACATTAAACAGAAGACAGGCAATACATTGATCCGAAGTGAGGAATTAGACCTGTCTAGTTTTGAAAGCATCATCAATTTTGTAAACAGATTCAAGCAAACAGGTAAACAGCATTCATAATTGATCACTTTGGGTCTTTTGGTCTTTTGACCAGACACACAGTAGAATCTAGGCAGTTTGTACCTCAGAGATAGTGAAGTTTGTATTCAACAAAGCTTAACCAGGCTCCTGTTTGAAGTTAGGCCTATTACAAGTTCATTATTTGAATAGTTTCAGATCAAATTCTTCCCGACAAGCACACCAACCAAAGTAATGGCTTCTTTCAAAAGTTCTGTCATGGAATGCTCAATATCTGCTAAAGTTTTATACATTTTTCTGACATAGTTCAATATTCCCATAAATCTCCTATTAATCATTTAACAGTAAAACAATACAGACACAGTCTAATCATTCTTTGTTAGAAAATTAAAGACTTCAATTTTAATTGAGTGGTTTTTGCCAATTTTAATGATTTCTAGTTGTGTATAGGCATGATTTTCAAATGAAACAAGTGTGAATGGGCAGTTGCAAGTTATGTCATGAGTAGTCTTGAATTTTGTTTTCATTCACAAAAACATTGAAAATTTTTAATAGAATACCGTTTTTTATAGATAGCCTATCTACAGAATTGTCTATGACCTGAAAATGTTGCGAAGGACCTTTTTTGTATTTTGATTTATTTGAATATTGTTGTACTTGTGTGCAGTTGTCCCAAAACTCTAGTCCATAAAGCATGATTAAGACAAACAACATAATACAAAAATATCAAAATATCACTTATTTTTGTGATACTTTTAAAACTATATCAAGTTGTACAGAATATTCATGAATATTTGTTGTCAGTTTGCTTATTTGTTGCAGGAAGTAAGCTTTATGGCCTTTTGAATAATGCAGGATTGTTTCATGTTCCTTACCAGTTAACCAAAGATGGATTTGATGTCACCTTGCAAACTAACTATCTAGGTAAATATTACTACTTACTTACTGCCGTGGCTCCACAAATCTCAGTTGATTCTTCGCCTCGTGTACCAGCCTCTTCCACCCTTCTCTGTCTTTTGCCAAATATTACTAAAGTAAATATTACTAGCAAAACCAAATTAATTATATCTAGCAAACCACAGCCTTTTTTTGCAAATCCTGTATTTTAATGTATTAGATTTTAAAATGTTTTTCAAATGCTATCTGAGCATAAGGTGGGCAATCTTGGATGTACAGCTAACAAGTTTTGAGATTGTTGTTACTTTCTTCTTTCCTCAGTTGTGGACTCATCGTTACTTTAGAAGTTGTTGGATCACTATTTTATAAGAAACTTTTAAAGTATTGTGACAGGTAGCCGAATGAAACAACGAAAATGCACTACGAATAATAATTTATTTACTTAATTTATGATAAAAACAATAGTGAAGTGTTTAGCTTCCGACTTGCTGTATAATCCTATAAATTTAGTTTACAACACAAATAAGTTATTGGGGGACATAGCCTCCCGAGGAGGCTATGGGGAAAGGCGACGCGACGCGGAATTTACATGACCGATTGAATTGGATTTAGAATTTAGACTAACTCAACTGAGTGCGCGCTTCCCATAGCCCAGAGTTGGGCGTGGAGGGGAACCAGCCAATCACGTTGCGGCTATGCCGCGTGACGTCAGTGCAAGCCCTGGACGGTGCTGCTGCCTAACGATTCATCAGGGCATTAGGCAAACTATAGTTGCGCATTAACTGATTTCATCGAGCGACTTGCTGAGCTGTATCAGCAAATTCCAGCCATGCGCGTTACACTTTCCGAGAACGTTGGCCTGACCCAGCGCTGAGCCACGCTGACGGAATATTCCATGGTGAGGCAACTGGTTGACGCAAAAAGCTGGGAGGTTAACAGTCCAATATTACATGCCCTCTTTTTATATTTGAAATAAAGCAAAGCTTCTGTGACGGTAAAGACAGGGTTTCCTGAGGGTGTAACCAAAACCTCCCCAACTGATATGTAATGGGTCTGGGAATTTTTGGGACCGTCACATCCCCCTCCTCCTCAGACCTTGCTGACCCCAGCAAGAGGTACTGCAGGAAGCAGTGAGCGAGCCTTGCACCTGAGGACTCTCAAATCTCCATACTATGGTTCTCAGCCACAGAAATCCGGTCAGCGAAGCCCAACGCCACACCAAGGCCAATTTAAACGCCTCGTAAAATGTAACTTGATGAATTTAAATTTTCCAAACAAAAAAAACCCATTAAAAGAAAATCATATAATTGAACCCTCTAACGTCATCGCCTTTCCCTGCTAATGCCATAAATTTAACTAATTACATCCATAACTCTGGATTCCAAAAACACTAACATTCAACCTACAATCCTTACATTATATATAAAGTTATTCAATTTAAACAGCAAGTCGAAGCAAAAGAATGAAAAACAATAAACCACAACAAACTACAATAGATAAAATCCTTCATGACTGGACCTAACACTAACAGTAATAAACCATTTTAGTAACGATACATTAATTTTAAATTTCAAGAATAAAAATCAAACAAACAGATTCAAAGCTATCCTCATCAAGTAAAATTTAAACGATTATCGCTACTGCATTAATACAGTTATAAATCAACAGCTTAAACAAACAATAATAGTTATGTTCATCTCGGACAATGCTTGCTTCCCTCGGATGAGAGAATACACAGACCCACTTATCTTCGGTAATGATTCAGAGCAAGCGCTCCTGCCATGCTGGTTAGTAGTCCTTAGAAATATAAAGGTAACAGTGAATTTAGGCAGTCACAGCCTAATCTATAAATTCTCCCCCGGTAATACCACGGGATGTATTACAAGTTGGTTGATAAATTTGAATGTAAAGCGAATACGGTTTGCAGCAAATATTTCTCAGCCGAATATAAGGGGCGTTTACAATTTTCAACTTAATTTAGTTTCGTTAATACTGAATATAATGTACCAAATGCCGAAACGAAGCAAGCACTGTAGAGCCGAACACGGCACTAATTTTCAACAACAATGGAAAAAAAACTACTATAACATAATCCCTCTGCTAACTTTCAAGGATTTCCAACATGTTGGAATCTAATGAACATATTAGATAAAAGAAAGAATAATACTTATGAGTTCATGCAAATAAATTCAGTAGCAATCATGAACTCCTAATTAAACATGGAAACTGATAACTCCTAAAACTCACTTTTTTACTTTTACTTCAACTCTAATTAACTTTTACATTCCTTCAACTTAACCTTTCCATGGTTAAAACAAGAAGCCAACCAAAGATACCTATCTAAATAAATAACACTTACCTAAACAAATAATGAAATAAATAAATCTAATAAATAAATAATAATAAATAGCAAAATCCGTTAAATGACAATTTATTGGGTCATGGGTCTGGCTACCGAGGTTGAAGGTGCCGGCCTACCTCCAAACAAGGCACATTGGCTTGACAATGTCCAAAATAGAGTTACCTTTGTTATTTGAATTGAAATAAATTTGATTATAATTTTTATCAGATAAGAAAATATCATAGTCCAAGGCCAAGGGTACGGTCCAGCATTATTAGATGGTAGGGAAGGATAAGGGTAATTAGGAAGTTAGTAGGACTGCAGCTGCTTACTTTTCCGTGTTGCCTTGACTCTTGGGCCATACACACTCACTGAGGAGTACATCTTCTTCATTTAGAATTTAAATTCCTCCTATAAATAGCTGTAAAGCAAAATTTCGGATCAAACTTTAACAAGCACAGCCAACCCAATCAACTAACCAATCAGGACTAACAATAACTAACAATAACAAACTAACAATAAGGACACACCAGTGCCCAATGGTGTGAATAAAAATAGAAAATCAATTAATTTATAGCAGCACTACAGGCATCGGCTACTACCAAACATCATACACGAGTGTGCATTGTCCCATGGCGCCTACTTGTAAAACCGATAGTCCTTTTTAACAGTACATTAATAAAATACTTATGAAATAGTTACACAGAAAGAATACTAATTATATAATAATAGAAAAAGAAGAATCTATTAATGTCTGGAGCTCCATTTAAAAGTGTCCTGCCACTTACTTATTGCGCGCACTGCACTAGTCAACTTACGCCACCCAATGTGACTGCAATCGGGGGCGGTTTAGTTCAGCAACAAGTTGCAGGCTGGGCATGCCCTGTCTATCCTCCGCGGAAGGCCTGACCTCTACACTGGAGCGCTCCGGTTCCATCTCCCTTACTGCTGGTGCCTCTTCCTGATCTTGTGTAGTTCTCGCAACAGCGGCTCGCAGCCACAGGGCTGCTCTGCGTCTCCACCTGTAAACGAGAAAAACAGCTATTAGAATAATCGAGATGGAGAGGCCACCCAGTTTCAACTTTTCAACATTCTTTAGTTGCAAATTATGGAATCTGAGGAGCTGGAAGGCATTCTCAAAAGAATACTCCTTTACGCTCAGAGTGCCAAGCTGGTAATTATTTTGGCTACTTCTCAAGGACGTCCTTTAAACATTACATCACAAATACACACGTCATGGCCATGACCAGGGAGGCTCTTAGCTCCACCCCCGTCTACAGCTCAAGCGCAGCTGGTAGCGGCTAACAGGTTCTGTCAGGCAGGCGTACGCAGGCGCGAGCAACAGTCAAAATGAAATTGACACCGGGGGAGGCTCTCCTTCCCTCTCCCCTTCCCGGCTCCAGTGCAGCTGGAAGTTGCCAACGGGTTTCGATGGGCAGACATACGCAGGCACGAGCAAAAATATGCACTCTATCTCTCGCATGTCATCGGGAGGGACTAATGACAGAAAAATTTCTTAAAACAAAAAAAAAAATAAAACAAAAATAACCAGGACTATTAGAGTCCTACACGAGCTTATTGCTGCCGAACGAACAGCAGGCCAAAACTCATCAGTTCACATAATGCAGAGTCCTTGCTGGAGCTCAGGCATATCATGCGACTTCAACTTCACGAACAGTCCCCCACCGAAAAGAAAAAACAACACGGCTAGCGCTTACAACAGAAGGCTGCTGATTAATCAGGCAGGCATTCTGTAACTATTAGCAACCAAATCGTTAATGGTTCTGATCAGAGATCTCAAACTACAAAAAAAAACAGCGCTTCAACAAAATCCGGACCTAGTCCACAGGAGATTCACCATGTCGCCGTGTGTATTGTAATACTGTACGGACAAGCAAGGCAATCTCAATCACGGCCAGCCACCTTAGGGCTCAGACCAAACTACAACCATGCACAATCAAAGGAAGCCCATAACTAAATGGGGCGTGCCTACAATGTACAAATTAACTATATCTTCTTAATTCTTATCTTTTTTTTTTTACCTTTTTTCCAGAGGAGTCTAAATTTTAATTTAATTTATTTAATAACAAAAAATAAAAAATAAAAGAATTTAAAAACAAGGCTAAAGCGAGTATACTTTACCCCAACTTAGCTCAGGGCCAATAATTTGTAATCACTTACTATTATTATACTTATACAACTACTCAAACCAATTCCACCCGCAGGGACAATGTTGAACTACTGCTTCAACAGCTGGTCCACCGCAAGGAGACTCCATGTGCCTCGATCAACGGAGACAGCAAGAGACTGGCTCACACTCCTATACAAAACTGTAGGCTGTATAACAAACAAAAAAAGGGTTATCCTATGCACATCAATATATTGGTAGGCTACTAATTCACCTCCAGCATTGAATTTTTATAAAAAAACATTTTCCTCCTACTATCATCAGCATTGCTTGATTTATTTTCCCTTAACAAGAAACAAGGACAACGGTATTTGTATTCTTCTAACTATACACCACAGAATCCTCTGGCGAGGGGTTAGCCACGGCTTAATCACAAATGTTACCGTACCGGATTTATTTAGGTTAAGGTCCTGTCCAAAGCAGGAGCAAAAGAAGATACACTCCAAATCTTCCCCCATACCGAACACACATTGTGAGAAAATTGTGACATTTCCCTCGGCTCATTAGAAACTCAACATATCGGAAACTAATGTTTCTTCTGTAGATAAAAGCAATTCATCTCAAAAACAATTTATTATTATATTTTTTTTTTACAAATACGGAATGAATTAAAAATTTATATTTTCAGCTCGTGAGTCAAAACTATCAAATTAATAGTTTACCTCTGTAACATCACATATGAGTTTTGAACTGACTTCAATCATTCAATAGTGCTAGCTGATGATAGCAGCTAAACAACAGTTCTTCAAATTTCGGTTTTTATTTATAAATCCGATAACCAATTTCTAATTATTCCAATGTAAATAAATAAAGATCAATACATTATTTCAGTATGAAAAAAAAAGAATGGCAACTAAACACAAACATCTCTAATTACTCAGTATACTCACTCAGTCTTGGACCAAGCGTTTAACGAATGGTAAAAACCTCTTGCAATGCCTAAAAAAAACTCAAAAATTAATCCCTCTCCTGGATACCTACACAAAAAAAACATTTAAACTCCTCTTTTTAGTCCTTCCACATTGCACACCTACTTTGTGTACACACCGACGTCTCATCAGAGGGTCTGCGAACCCCTAACAGTTCCAACAGAGCACCTGCTGAATCACGTAATATCTTAACAAATCGCGGCTAGGTTTGTTGGCCCACGCCGCGGCCTTTACACGCTAACCCAAGTTTCTAGCAAAACCCCAAGGGTTGCTTCAATTTTTTTTACGTATTTCGTTTTTACTTTTTTTTTACTTGTTACTCATTAGTTGTCCACTTTACATAATATACACAAATTTTAGAGACCAAATCACATTACGAATCATACAAACTCAAATTATTTCTCGCTGCGTTCCACAAAACTTGTTAAGTCTGGTAAAAGAAAAGTTGGAATTTATTCAGGTACCGTACCTAAAATATCACAATAAACCATCTTCTAGATATCCTTACTTTAAAAGTAATTTATTTATAAACGTGCACAGTCATCACGGAAAAAAACAAATTTTTTCCTACTTAGGCCTACTTTATTTTCCATACCCGAGTGAAATGGCAAGGCATCAATACAGAGGCAAGCAACATCCCGGATGGCTTTGAGGTGAGAAGGCAAGTCTTTAGAGAACAAAATTATGTCAAAAGAGACAAGGCATTTCCCAACCTTCAAGCCCGTCAGTAGGCCAGTAATGCTGACATCATTTAAACTAATAATTTTTTAATCAATAATTCCCATGGACTACACTGCTAATCATTCAAAGACAACAGTAATTATATTCTGTTTCATAATTCTATTTATTGACCACTTCAAAGGACATTTAACAGTCACTGGCGTTTACTGAACGACCCAATGAGCTGTCCCGAATAACAAAATATGTTACCTTAAACAGTTTAAAATGAACAAGCTAACCACATAGAATCTGAACATGTCCTGCCACAGTAGGCTAGGCCTACATGATGGCCATCATTGGAACGCAGCTAAAATAAATTTAGTTTTACGAGTAACCATACACTTCAAAAGTTCTTGAGTAAGCTTCAAAATTACATATTCCACGATAATTAGTTAAAATGTTCCCTACTTTCCTTTAACTTACTCTTACCTTAGGCTAAGGCTATATTCCAACATTAATTTATTATAATTTTAGCTGTACCGGTAGGCATTAATCAAAATAATTTAAGTTCACGGTCGGTCATTATAATAGAAAACAATTCCTTAAGTCAAAATTATTGCCTCAGCTTCTCTGAACACTTAATTGAAATATTCATAGCCTAACTTTATACGAGTTACCAAAACTTAACTTAGTTTATCTCCAATTAAATCTAATTATTCCGCCTTCCCCCAATAAGTTAAACTTCACCAAGGCACGGCCTAAACTTTACAGGAATAGGCTACTAGGTTAAACCATCAAAAAAATTAGCCTAGTCAACTGTTAACTTAAGCTCAGACAGTAATCACAGGAACAACGTAAGGCCTATCCTACTTAAGCCAACAACTTCAATTATTTCACCCCTTGATTACACAACAAATTAACTATTTAAGAAAAACTTTAGCCTTGGTAAGCTTCCCAATTAAATATTTTTGAAAAACAAATAAAACTATTCAAGCCAGTTAGTTAATTTATAAACTCACCTGACCTTTTTACGCACATCTAACCTTTCCGCAACAGAGCAGACGCCAGAAGCTGAAGTCGATCGAAGTCTCTGAAGTTCGAAGTTTTAAACTGCAGACGACGACGACTCATTGCAGTCGCAGTGGGAGCGAAACGAATTAAAACACGTAAAACGACGGGAGCAGTACTGAAACAGACTGAGCGAGTCGCGACAGGGAATTACAACGAAATTATGATTTCTGACTAAGTAATTGATTGCACGATAATAATTAAATAGCCAATTAATTTAGGACTCTTGAACCTAACCCCGCACTGACACCAAATGTGACAGGTAGCCGAATGAAACAACGAAAATGCACTACGAATAATAATTTATTTACTTAATTTATGATAAAAACAATAGTGAAGTGTTTAGCTTCCGACTTGCTGTATAATCCTATAAATTTAGTTTACAACACAAATAAGTTATTGGGGGACATAGCCTCCCGAGGAGGCTATGGGGAAAGGCGACGCGACGCGGAATTTACATGACCGATTGAATTGGATTTAGAATTTAGACTAACTCAACTGAGTGCGCGCTTCCCATAGCCCAGAGTTGGGCGTGGAGGGGAACCAGCCAATCACGTTGCGGCTATGCCGCGTGACGTCAGTGCAAGCCCTGGACGGTGCTGCTGCCTAACGATTCATCAGGGCATTAGGCAAACTATAGTTGCGCATTAACTGATTTCATCGAGCGACTTGCTGAGCTGTATCAGCAAATTCCAGCCATGCGCGTTACACTTTCCGAGAACGTTGGCCTGACCCAGCGCTGAGCCACGCTGACGGAATATTCCATGGTGAGGCAACTGGTTGACGCAAAAAGCTGGGAGGTTAACAGTCCAATATTACATGCCCTCTTTTTATATTTGAAATAAAGCAAAGCTTCTGTGACGGTAAAGACAGGGTTTCCTGAGGGTGTAACCAAAACCTCCCCAACTGATATGTAATGGGTCTGGGAATTTTTGGGACCGTCACAGTATGTTAACATCATTTGCTTCAATTAGTGACTCCCTATGTTGTGATTAACTGTGACATTCCTCCGTAGCCAAAGGGTATTTTGAGGGTATATTTTGTTTTTTGTATATATGGTACAGTACATATAATTGAAAGGTGAGTTAAAGACTGTTTATCTGTTGAATTTCGGTGATTAAAACCTTTGTGTCTATTTCATGTTTTCAGGCCCGTTTCTCCTGATTTATCTATTGTTGGATATACTAAAGGAAAGTTCTCCTTCGAGAATAGTTAATGTTGGTTCTGAGAGTCATAGATACCTGACTAGTTTGAATATTTCTGAAGTTATCAAGGACTACAATGAGCATGGTGATTTTGATGAGTTTATGTTTTATGGAACTACTAAGCTGTGTATCATGCTGCTTACCTCTAAACTAGCAAAATTATTAAATGGTAAGCTATTTATTGAACTGTAGTTAAAAAAATAGAATTGCTGAACTAAAACATTATGGTCTTTACACTAGGAAAATCATAGGCAACTTTTCATGCTTTAACATTTTTTGATTTTTACATTTCTATTGCTATTTTTTTGACATTCTCACAAATTTCTTTAAACAAAGAAATACATTTATTGAGTGTTTTTCTGGTATGTGTACAAAAAGTTTACTATTGTAGATATACTTTTCCACTGCTTTACACAAATTGGACAAGTTTTTACAGCTTCATTTTTACTTGTCTTTTAGCCCCTATCAGGCTTGTGTAGTTGCGTTTAGGATTTTTTTGTAATTCTTGTATTTTACTGATTAAAATTGTGGTCAATACACCGATATATAATTTAACTTTGATAGCATATAAATTATTTTAAGATTTTTTCATGTGTATTTTAAATGGGTTTTTGCCATTTACATGGTTCTCCATTTTAACTCCCATTTTCGCTGTCAAGCACACACATACAAATTTTGTGATAGCTCTCCACGGTTCTATTAATGTCAGATATTGTCACATTTCCAATTCCCTGTTCCTGGGCTAAACATAATGAATTTGCACATTTTTAACTCTGCTAATGTTGTAAGTTGAATAGAAACACAAAGCATTAACTTATAAAGTTGGATTATCACTGACGAATGGCCATAGGCAACTGAGTGGGAATGGGTTGCACAGCCATAGCAGAAGTACATCCATTCACGTAGACTACACTTGAGCAGTGGTCACTCATTAATCTTTTGATTGGCACACAATTTAATTTAGTTCTTTTGTTTGTTCCTTTCGCTTAAATGACGTTTTGGATGACAAGACTTGTATAATCAATGCTCCACTGTATGAATAAAACAAAACAAATATATTATAGCACTACAATAATTTAGAGCTTATGCTTACAATATTGTGCCAGAGAAACAAAGTTATTAAGTTTTAACATTTCACTTTGTTAGTTTGTCACATGAGCCATTGGGTCAATAGCTAGATAACTTTAGTGGTTGGTGGGATCCAGAGCAGAAGTGTTGTGCTTATCCCCTTAGCAGGTTGAAAATAAGATAGATCTAACAGTAAGGTGCTAACTTAGCACCTTACTAACTTAGCACCTTACTGTTAGATCTATCTTATTTTCTGTATTCACTTCTGTAAGACTTTTAGTATACAAATTGAACTTCATGTTTTTTTTTCATTTATAGGATCAGGAGTTTCAGTAAACAGTGTAAATCCTGGAAATGTTCGGTCAAACATTCACAGACACTTTCCTGCTATAAGAGATCTGCCACTGTGGAGTTATTCTCGGTTTATGCTGTGGCTGACATTCAAGACGCCGTGCCAAGGAGCGCAAACTTCAGTTCATGTGCTCAGTGACCCACAACTTTCAAATATCTCTGGAAAATATTTCAGGTGAATGTTAAAAACTATTTCTATGTTGCAAATTTGCTTACAAAGATTATGATTCACTTGTTTTATTAATCTATGGATGAATCAGAATCAGAATCAGTAATCTTTATTCGGTCTGTATGTAACAAAATCCTTGGGGTTGGATAAAGTTACTTTGATTTCAGTTGAACTCGTAGCAATGTTCACAGTTAAACACTAGTTGTGGGACTGAAACTGGTTATAATATAACACTGACCTGGGATAGATGCATAAATCTTTGTTAAAATTGACAACTGTGGGATTTAAAAAAATATTCTTAAATTCTGACTTTTTTCGGTGTTCTGCTTTGCGGATATGCTTCTTGAATTAATCACAGAGTAGATATGTTTAGGAAAAATTTAGTTATACAGTAATTACAATGTGAAAACAAATTCAACGATAGGGATGTGTCAAATCTCGAATCCACCGAATTTTAAGAAAATATTCGGGTTAGAGATTCAATTAACGAAATTTGAGAGTCAAATTTTTTTTATAGAATTATAAGACATATACTTTGCATTGCATAACCATAAAGGTTATTGATGTCGTAATATTATACACTATACTGTGACATTGCCTAACCATAGAGGTTATTGACGTCGTAATATAAATATACAGTACTGTGACATTGCCGAACTATAGAGGTTATTATCGTATCTTTAAACTGCAGTTGAGATTAATCTATGTGTGCCATCGGTTCTTTCTGTGTGAAAATTTGATAGTTTTAATAATTTTGCAACTGTTCATGCTATTTAAACAATCATCTCTCCATCCTCATTTTTATAACTGTTTGCAGTGATTGCAGGGACACAGAAGTTTCTGCTCTAGCAAAATCTGTTGAATTAGAAGACAAACTTTGGATATCTACTCTTGGGTGGCTAAAACCTTACATCGGAAATGGCGTCATTAAGGGAGGAGTGGGAGTTTAATGGCGGAAAATGTACTAAACAGGTGATTTTTAAGGGGGAATTATGTGAACGCCCTAAGGAAAATGCGACTTGTCAAGTCAAGATAAGGATAAAAGAAGGTCATCCACAAGGTGCGGACTCTGAGTACTTGAAAAAGGAATTTGGTCAACTTATAGTTGGTCACGCTGATTGTGAAGTGGATAGGCAAATTGAAAAATGTGTGAGAAGTATGGTGTTGAAAGAAGAGTGTGTTTTAACACTAGCATTTAAAGAATTCACTGGTTGCATCGTTTTGGAAATTTTATTGCTGACTTTTATCCAGTTTCCTGATATTTATAAATGGGGAAAAGAAATGAAATTAGAAATTGCAAAACAACATAAACTGAAAGGTGTACAATTGTTTCAAATGGGGAGGTGGAGGGATGCGTTTTTGAGGTTCAATAAGTCAGTTAAACTTTTAATTACTCTGGGAATCGAAGAAGACAGTGAAGCTAAGAGTTTATATGTCCAAGCTTGCAACAACATGGCTTGGTGTCATTTGAAGGCAGACAGCATAGCTCACGCTTTAACACTTTGCAACAAAGTTCTAAACATTGAACCTGAAAATGTAAAAGCATTACTCAGAAGATCAGAGTGCTACACAAGACTGAACGACACGGAGCTGGCAGTCATGGACTTGAAACAAGTAAAAAAGCTTGAACCTAACAATGGTGTCGCTAGGGAAAGACTGATAACGCTCCAACATAGACTAGAGTTAGAGAATATTAAATATGCTAATGTTATAAAAAGAATGTTCCAGTAGAGGGAGGAGTTTATATTGATTTGTTACGACATGAGTAATGTTATTGTATACTATGTACAGATATTAAATACCCAAAGCCATTGTAAAAATTCAGTATTTTGTTGTTTGTTGACCAAAAATGTTTAACTTGACCAAAAATTATTTTAAATTGAGAGCCTGATTCAGGTAAGTCTCTGTACAATTTTTAATGTCATCATTTTGCAACAGTCTTGTGGTAAACAAAAAAGCTTTTTGCTAGTGTTTATCTTTAATTAGAATAGACTAGCTGTGTGTCCGTTCTACGCACGGGGATCTTATAGTAGTCAGTTGAAACCTTATTATATTTTGAACAGCATATTTCAGCATATTTTCAGGTATGCTTGCAAAACTATTATTTATAAACCTTCACAAATATAGTATCTGACAGTTTCAAGCCAAAATAAATTAATCACAATTAAATGTCACTTGGATCGTGTTGGTCCATGTTATAGCCAAAATGATTAAACTAAAAAAAAAATGCTTTATAGATCAATGAGACATAGCCCAAAGGTAGGCCTATAGTTAAAAGTTACTTTCCACAATAGTTAAAATTAGTTAGAATACTACCTCAACCTCACCATTAAACTCTTTATTCCAGTTGACATTTTCATTATCAAAGGCGCTCTTGTCCTTTCCATGAAACACTGAGAAATAAGGACATTAATGCGTTACCAACAGATATACACACAAAAATACAGAATTTGATTGGGGAATTTGCTACGCTTTAACCATGGCAAAGTAAATGTAATACAGTAGAACCTCTTTAATCCGCCGAACGTCCACTAATCCGAACGCCTCATTGCTGTACTCTATACACAGTACAGAAGTTCTTTATTGTATACTCTATTAATTGATATACGCACCATAATTATTTCAATTGTAGTACTGTTTATTCCCTATGTTTACTACTGTATTTAATAAAACACTGTATTTTACTTTATAAGGTATTTTCACTTTTCCCTAGCTATTGTTATGTAAAAACAACAATATGTTCTATAATCCGAACTATTCAATAGTCCGAACTACCCCCCGTCCCAATTAGTTCGGATTAAAGAGGTTCTACTGTATTAGTATTTGAAATCTTTGTTAGTGTTATCAAATTTTATCATAACAATATAATATTTGCTTAGTCCGAAGATGACCCAAAATGCTGTCGAAATGACGGCTTACTATATGAAACGAAGTACTAAAGACGATTTAGATTGGTAAACAACATTTTGGAATACAGACAGAAAAAGCAAAACTTACATTAAGACATCAATTAAATTGAATAAGACTGTAATAAATAAGGTGCAACACCAACGATAACTAATTTCTAAATAGTGATGTGTTGGTATGTAATAGTATATTACGTTACTAGTCCTGAAAATAAGTGTTTACCGGACGAGTGTGGTCGTTCCCGTGCGAGACGAAGTCGAGTACGGGATTGCCATACGAGTCCGGTAAACACATTTTGGACGAGTTACGTACGATAGTTTACGCCATACTACTAAATCTCTACAAATCCTTATATATTACCACCAACTAAAGGACTAAAAATCACTAGTCATAACCTCTAAGCGAGGTTATGTTTTTGTCTACAATCACTCATTGCCACCCAAATACAGTATAATCAGCTGATTGGTGTCCGGTAAAACTCATTGCATAACAGTAGTACGCAATGAAACCCCATTTGATTAAGCTGGCGGCAAACAGCTGTTTTCTGGACTAAATACTTGCGTGGGAAGTTCGTTAAAACAGTGTAGTATGGCGTAAAAATGATTCTTGCTGGTACCACTTAAGGAAAAGAACCAGTACCGAAAACCAACGTTTATAGTAGTTAAGAACTATAGTACATCCGACCAATTAAATGCGTTAATCAAGTCCCGAGGTTATTGATCTCTCTTGGTTTTGGATTTTCTCACAAAAAGTTATCGGAAATCAAAGCTATTTCTCATTAATTGCATTATTTGTAAACAACTTTTAATGTAAACATATTGGTGACAGTTGCAACAAAACAACCTTATCCAAACAATTTTAGATGAAGTATTCTCTAAACGATGTTTGGTATATGTAGTAAACATTAGAATGAAATGTGAAAAAATCACACAATGTTGGGTTTTTGGAAGTTTGTAATTTTATTTCCTAAGTAGGTAGTCCATGTATTCTAGGGAAAAGTACCGGTATTAAGGATCGTTGTCAAATAGGTTGTTATGAATAACTGGGTAGGCCTACGTACCCAAGATACAGGCTATGGGCCTATTGGCTGTATGGTCGAGCGATTGCATCACACACACGGTGAGTAGAAACAGAAAGTGACACATTGGAAAAGTGAGTTTAGCATCATCCGTAAACCTCTGTTACAATCACTCACTGCAGTTGTGATTTTTCACTTTATACAACTGCATTGAAACACCGTCAATGAGTGAAAACCCTGTTAGTAAGCTCTTGGCAACAATGAATTAATAAATTAAGTGTCCCAGCTCTATACAACACTGATTCAAAGTCTTTTTCCCGGTTATCAAAACTTCAGAACAATTTTACACACAAAGAATCTCTAATTTCATTTACGGTTACAATACAAATTATTGAACTTGCAATTAATTAAATCTTTTATGTAAGGAAAATCTTTTTTAATCTCACTTGGTTTTGATTTTTCTTTCAAAACATCATCGGAAATGTTTGCGGTATTTGTAAACAACATTTAATGTAAACATATAAGTGACAGTGAGAAAAAATAATCTTGATCCGAACAGCTGTTCATTATTTCATAGATGATTATGTGATAGACATTGGGAGAAAACTTGACAAAAGTCACACGAAATTGGGTTTTTAAACGTCCATCATTTTGTTTACATAGTAGTGTTGTTCTATGGGTGCACCGTGACCAACTTATCCCAATATCCTAGGAGAGGCTCACAGCTTCATGTGGTTATCTTTTTGAAAAGATGGATACATGTTAAGGTTAAATTAGACAAATATACATACAGGCTGAATAAAAAGTCTAGACCCCCCCCCCTCTAATATTTTTCCAAGTAAATATACATATATATCCTTTTGGTGGTCGTGCAATCTAAGCAGGAAGTTTCATTTTATGATTTTGAAATAATTGAAAGTCCCCCAAAAGGGGGAATTTCGGGGGCAACTCAAATATTTTAAATGTAAACCCCCTTTAAGTGACACCTCATTTTGAAGTGTTTAGAAAAACTTAAAGAATGGTGAAAACTAGAGGTCGCTATCTCTTCTCTATCCAAAATGGTAGCCAGTATTACCATTACGAACCAATATTACCATTGATTTTCCACAACATTTGACGGGCTACCATTTTGGATATCTCTGTATATTTACTTGGAAAAATATTAGAGGGGGGGGGGTCTTTACTTTTTATTCACCCTGTATAATGTTTCATTTTTATTTATGAGGATATAAAGGGTTGTAAATAACATCAGCATTTTTATAAAAATAGGTTTATTTACCAAAAGACCCAATCAACATTTTTACACTTGGCAACATTTTTATCACAAGATCACTTACTAATTAAAACTTTGATTATTGTAACAATGTAACAGGAAGTGAGCAAAATAATAATATTAATATTATAATTATTGACACAGACATAACACACATAAAAAAAAAAACAATAAGTAAAACTGTCAAGCAAAAAGACTTTGAAGGAAAGTTTTTAAAACATAACTGTTAAAAAAAATACTGCACGATAAGTTCAACTAAAGCTGTTCAAAAAATGAATAATAATTTAATCTAACATAGGCTATAATTATCTATATCGTACAAAAATAAATATTTTTTTCTTTTAAATTCTTTTATAACCTTAAAATAATATAATTTAAACAAATAATAGATTAAACTTTTTTACTCTTATTCCAGAAATTTAAACATAGTTATTTTCATCATCTAAAAGCAATAAACAATTCTTATATTGAACAAATTTCTTATATTTAAGATTATAAGCATGTAAGTTGTGTGATAATCATGGATTAGCGGATGTTTTGCCTTATGATTAATTTATTTGTATTTGTAGAATTATTGTAATGTAAGAGGGGTTAACAATATAATGGCTTAATGTAAAAAAACAAAAATAAAAAAATAGACTTGTAGAATAAAAATGAATGTTTTGTAAAATTATGTGTTAAGAGAATCTTTAATTACCGAAATGGTATGATCAAAAGGTAGCTCCCTTCATAAACTAAGTAATGAGGAAGCCCTACTCTATGAGGATTTTATTGATCACACAACCCTCAATAGATGAGTTATGGTCTTTGTAACTAGTAAAATGTTAATTGTGGCAAACAAATATTGCGTTCATTTCTGTAAGTTTCAGTACAGAATAAAAGTTTAGACAGCCAAATACACTAAATACATAGCTACAGTAAAACTTCAATTATCCAATCAACTGGGACCATACCAAATTGGGATGATAACAAATGTGTATAATTTTATTGTTTCCGAAATTTGGGGCATTTTAAAGGAAATACTTAAATTTTGGTACTGAAAGAAATTTTAAATACTGGTGAATAAAATGAGAACATTTTTACAGATTATACACCTGCAAATACTAAAAATGATGTATAAGTTGTTTAGTAAAGGTGTGCGAGTGGCTCGATTTTCACGCAACATAATTATTAAAGATGATATTGCGAAAAATTCTAGCTGTCGTGTGATTGCTGGTGATCTGCCTTCTTCTATAAAATTCCTTATTACTTAAGTTTTAGGCTATTAAAATTCTTTCTGTAAGCTATTTAAATAATCTGTGATTCGGTTAGTTGAAATTAGGATTATTGGAGTTCTACTGTACTCAAGACGAAATAACTGAATTGCATTTTAAAACAGAGGGAGGAATGCTAGACTAACAAATTAATGAACTATTTCGGTTTCGTTAGAAGTATTACTGAACTTTTTGATTAGTACTAATACATGAAACACATTTTATGCCACAAACAATTAAATACACTGGTAAGGCACTAGGCAATACTATAGCTGCTTGTCTATGGCTATGAATAGTTACTAACAAATGGCACTGTATATTGAAGAGAATCTAAATAGTGATGTACAATAAACCTTTGTTCATGTTCTATTTACATATATATTGGGAGAATCATGAAGACATCAATAATCTCTCTTTTTTTACTATAAGGAAGGATCAAATGTAATGATTCATTATGATTATGTGTGGGTAAAATATTTAAAGGAAATAGTTCTGAAGGGTTTTCATCCTATAGTTTATATATTTGATATAATTTTTCACAAAAGTAGAAATATTTAAATACTTGTAGTTGTGTATTTAAGACATATTTTACATGTATTTAAACATAGTACCCAGTTTAAGATGACATTTGAATACATTTAAAATCATCATAATGTACAATTTTATATAGTACAAGTACAATATATTTTTGCTTGACTCATTAATCAGTAATAACAAACCACAAATTCACACTTAAATAATTTATTTGATGAAAGACTATGTTTTGAAAACGGACATTTTATGTACAAAATAAAAATGTATAAAATTATGCTACTCTAAATTACCCGATCGTACGTACAAATAATGAAATTGGAAATCGACATCTAGACAAAAACCAATTAAAAAAACATTACTCCATACAAACAGTAATAAAGGATTAATTTTATAAGTAAATAAATAGTAAATAAATCAAAAAGCGATATCACAATAAATTTTAAACACAGGTGTACAGCTAGAAATTTAATTATAATAGAAATTATCATAAGAAGATGAAATGTGATAAAAACAAATGCAAAGTATAACCAGGGAAGAAATATGTATTAACAAAGATATATATTTACAAGATAACAATCGTGCCTTTTTGGTTAACTATTCACAACAGTTTTTAACAACCTATGGATCTGTTACTGGGGGGGAGGCACTGGTGAGTGTGGTAGGTGAGTGGTCGCTATCACGAGCCCTTCACCTTGCCATTCTGTGTAGCAAGGTTGGCAGCCTGACTGGCAGCGTGTTCTAGACTCTTCTCTACAAACAGCTGATACACCGGCTTCATCACCTGCAGTCAACAATCACATAATGTTTGTGGGAAATAACAAACACTTTTCTATGAAATCATGATTGCAACTACGGTTATTTGAAAGAAACGAATACTCTTAATCAAGAGAGTTTCTTTGCAGCTTATTTCGGTAACAGAATTTGTTTGAACTATTTGAACACAAACGATTTTCCTAATTCAACAAGTCTAAATGCTGGGTTAAACCGATACCATGCTGTGGAAACAGTATTAATTACTGTAACTATGCTTTTAAACATTTTATGGAAGATATTACTTTAACCAGTCGTCTGGTAAACGCACATTTACACACATCACAAATACAAATGAACAGATGTGATATGATATTGAGTTAGAGCTTTGGTGACATGTTGAATTTACTGTTAAAAGTATGCTATGGAGTTATAAAATTAATGTAAAATCACAATGACAAAACAACTGTTTTTTGCTATGTGTCAGATGCCTTTGCAATGATGGTACTATGCCATCTAAAAAAAAAGGTTTAAAAACACTATAAAAGCCAATGCAACAAAGCTCTGGAGCTCTGGATTTTTTCTGAATTTGATACCAAATGTTTGCAGGAAATTACAGTTAAGAGTAACAAATAAAACAATTTTAATAATGTACAAAACAAATTAATAAGCTATGTTATTGTATTGTATCAAATGAGCTGCTGCAAGGTGATTGAACTACCAAATATCCACAAATTTACCTTAAATCAACCTATAAATAAACATGTTTTATGATTTCATTTTTAACTGTGCATATTCAATGCAAATATTTGATATAATCTATCTACACAACAGATGAACTAGTTTATATAAAATAAAAATAAAATGCTGTACATACATTGTCCCAAATGAGGTTTGCTATTTCATCGAGCTGCTCTCCAAGTTCCCTCATTTCTCCACTGTACCTGTAATTGTAACATCAAGTGCCTTTAAAATGTGTGAACCTAAAAATATTTATTTTACAATAAACTAACACGAAGAAGATATTTTTAATCAAAATGAATTAAACAGATAGTATTCACTTAGTTTTTGCATGTAAGCAATAAAAACGTTCAAATTCTTTATTTTATAGCAGCCAAACATAGACATTTTGGGGTAAACATTTCATTGGAGCTAGCTTAATTCAAACTTCCTTAATTCCAAAGTATCCTTGGTTCAATTTTCCTCTTTATCCTTAGAATATACTGTACTTTGAAGGGAAAAAAGTAACTTGGCTTTAGAATTTGTTAAGAAGAAATGATGAATATGGTTTATTGAAACTTGAGTGAGCTAACAGTTAATTTACCTAATATATGACCAGAGGATGAGTGTTAGAAGAGCGATGCCCATGACCATGTTGCATGTGCTGGCGAGAGGGTAAAGGCCAAATAATGCGAACACTCCTGATATCACATAGAACACAGTCGCAATCACAAAGAACACAGCCGGTGTTCGAGCTGCCTTAAAGATGTTTTTGCTTTCATTATGTGCTTTGAAAGCGTTGAACTGTTCATCAATGTCCTACAAAAGAAAGTCATTATTAACTTACACACTCAATAAAAACGTAACAAATTGAATAACAATATGCTTGGTAATTTTGAATGTCTCGTGGATGATTACAGGATTAAGGTATTGTTGATATTGTGGTGAGAGACATTATGTAGATAATTTAATTGGAAAGTAACTTGGTAGAAATAATTATTTTATACAAGGGGAAGGGTAAGATTACCCACTAGGCGGTGGTCCGGGGGTCCTCCCATAAAAATAAAGTTATATGCTTAAATGAGCGATTTCTAAGCTACGAGGCAAATAAAAATAAATAAACCTAGCTGGTAACCTATGGTATAATAACCAAATACTATACTAAATATTGCAAGCATTTTTCAACAAGTAAACTCAAACAAACATGGGTTACTGATAACTGGTTTAAAAACAAGTATTTACTCTTTGGGCAAGTATTTACTCGTGGTTATTAACACCAAATTTATAGGTTTCAGAGGGTATAACTCCTTTGGGGGTCTATACTTACAAAGTTACAAGTACAAGTAAATACTCATGCTTATTCACTTCTGAAGTAAGTAAATACTCAAATTATGAAAAGACAAATACTCATTTTTATCCACTTGGCCCAACTATTTAGATTCCGTTACATTTGCTGCCCTGAACAAACACTGGCAGACAAACGGCGTGTAACCTTATATGAGATTTGAAAGCTCAAATTTTTTTGCTGATGTTCAGTGGATCCAAGATTCAGATTTGACACTTTTCTAGAAACACTTTCTCTAGCTTTCCGTCCTGCGCAGCCTGCTATATATGCTATGCTTATTATGAGTTACAATGCAAGAGCAATAATGCAACAACACTAGCTGTGTTACATTACTAAGAATGAATATTGCGTTGAGGCTCTAGCACCTCTTCGGTTGTTCGTAAGAAGACAGCGATCAATTGTGGGAGAGTAAATAATGAATCCTTTAACACTGCACTCTCAGATTGTCAAGTCATTTTTAACCAAGCTACAAGCATGTGATTCCTGTGTTGGAACATCCACCCTACTAACCCGACTTGCTAGTAGCTCATGAGACTGTATTTTATGTTCCTGAGAGATAAGTAAGCATTGAAAGGAAGTAGGCTTGAGACAGTGAAAGCTGTAATGTTAAACAGATAAATTGTATTAAATGTGTTAAGAAAATGTGAATGCATTGCAGAAAAAAACCGCTTTTCAAAGAACCTTAGAAACAGTTTTTAAGTCTTGTTTGGTATTTCTGGACAAATATTTTATTCTGTATTGAGAATTGATTTCATGGACTATAAACTGGAATTGAGATTGGAAAACGCTAGAACCAACTAATATATACTAACTAATAACTACTAACACGCCACCAATCATGAAATGCTAATTAGAACAGCAGCAGACCAACATGGCCGATGTGTAAGTTTAGCCTGTATGGTGTGACGGGTTTGATGTGATACATGGATATTCACAGGAAGAAGCATACTGGGTGCGAAACCATAGTACCCATAGTAAATTGGCACAAAATAACATGACACGACACAGTAATAATCCAACACTGGACTTAAAGAGTCATCATCTGATGCCTTTACAATTGTGAAATTTTATTAATGTTTTCCATTCATTAAACTTGGCTTTTTTTGTAAAAAAAATGTAAACTAATAAATTGATTTGAATTTCTGATTTTCAAGGAGTGCTTAGTATGGAATTATAAGGTAACTTTCCGAATCCCTCCCAGTGAACTTTAAAGCCCTTCCATACACAGTCCAACATGTCCAGTCTGGTTTTTACCACACACGATCTGACTTGGATTTATTCGGTCAGCATAGGACCTTCACACTTCGGGACAAAATTGCTTTAAGTGAGATCACACTCTTACTTCTTTTGTCTCGAAGATAACAAACCTCATCGTAAAAAATGAAGGATGGACAAAGAAATGGTTGAATGAACAAGGTGTTTACAGCCTTATGACACTGTTGAAGGAACTGAGAAAATAAGCTGAGGGCTTTTATATACTACATGGTTATTAAAAAAGAATGGTGCAAAACTTAACGGTTGGTCCATCTGTTTCCGTGATTTCAAATAGCTGATTTTTACACCAATGGCAGGGTGTGTTTATAAGTTTGTTTTGACAAGGTTATGTTTTGTCTCAGATTCTTGGTTGAGTACCAGAAGCCTGTCAACAAAATCGAAGAATATCAACAATATCTGCGGACCCGGTTTTATTTTACCCACACATGGTTCGTCGTATGTACCACAGTAAGTCAGATGAGTCAACAGACATGTCGGACTGTTTATAGGGGGCTTTAAACATAGTTTTGAAAATCAGGTATGGAATGAATTAGTTTAGTCGAGTAATTCAAACTTCACAGTACAGAGCAATCAAACCTGCAAAATCCAAAACAAAAACGGTGTGTATACGAAGATTCGGATATTCACTGACTGGTCCACATATTAGTGAGAGAAAGGTGTAATCATAAGGTTCAAATCAAAATAAAATGCTACTATAGTTGAAATATTTATTTATGAACTAAAAAAGTACAAAATATAGTAGGAACACATATTATAATACTACTGTTTGCAAATATAAATTATAGATTCACATTGTATAACAGATCGGAATGCTAGATACAGCTTTTCAATCGACAATGAGGTCTCACACTTTGAAATATAACTAATCCATGATCATGTATATGTATGAACTTTGCCAATAACATTTTAATTCAATACTTAATAAACAATGTTTGTTCGATACAACTACTTTAGCTTGATTAGTCGTGTGATGAATAAGTATACAAAAGCTTTATATATAAACGTAAACCAAAAAACGTAAGTTGTAAAATTATCTATGTATGAAACAGTAAATGACATAACCACTACAACCAGTATAACCACATTATAACCTGCATTATCAGGTGACCACATTTACTTACTTGTAACGAGAGATTTGTTACTTATATGGGAAATAGGTTTACAAGGTCCAACAATGTCTTCTGATGAGAGGTGTTTGCAAAGTTAGGTGAACTTATTTTTAGGTGACAATACATGTATAGACAATACAGCTGTTTCGTGCTAAGGATGGAGCACATCATCGGGTCAGAAATGACCTTCTGGTTTTCTGACCCGATGATTTGCTCCATCCAAAGCACGAAACAGCTGTAGTCACAACAAACTACAAAGGATCGTTTTGGACAGTAACAAGGTAACATAAACCACTATACATTAATTCAGACAATCCAGAGGCCATGTCATCATGACAATACATGGTTTTAAAACCAATTCCGAAATGACGTTTTTTACTTTATTTTAGAGATATGTTTATTAGACCCAATTCTTCATAATGTGTGCTTAAGCAAATAGCATGAATCAAAACTTGTTTGGATAACAGAAGAATAGTAAGACTCATATTTACATACTATATAGTTTACTAGGAGCACGCTCATTCTTCCCATATGGGGACGAAACTAAACATCAAGATATTCAGTGGAATCAACCCATAAAAAATATATGCAAACATAACAGTTGAAATAGAAAACAATGCAACAAAGAAAACAATGCAACATGACCAAGAGAAAAACAAGCAACAATAAAACCTAATTCAAAATACAATGGCCAAGATTCAAGCCTCTGCTGCAGCCTGTCTTACTGAGGTACCTTTACCTTGGAAAGCTAATAATTAAAAGCAGGGATAATATAAACATTAAACAACAACTGTAAGCTACACTGCTGTAAAAGTATTCTTCAAAAGGTACATATTTTTGTTGTAAACATACATAAATCACAAGTTATATTGCCATTATATAACTAATAAGCACAGGAGCCTAGCACTTGAGGATATAGGAAAAGCAAGCCTACTTTCCTGTTGTAAAAAAACACGTTTGAATGTTTTAAACTCAAATAAAAGGAGCACAAAATTTAGACATTATAAGAGAATGGTACATGTTCAGAAAGGTGAGACTCCTGAATTTACAAATAACATTTTCTGGATTCAACGGTCACTAGTTAGCAAGTAAATAAACTTATGTTTATTGGAAACAAACTGTGAGTAAGGTAGCCTAAATGGTTTGGTGAATGAAAAACCATGTACCAAAGTGTAAAGAGTTTCAAATATAGATTATTTTCTATAATTCTATTTTTTAAATTAATGTACCGGTACTTATACTCTTTAGTTAACATAAATCACATGATAATACTGTATGGTAAATAAAAATATTAAATAATACATAAAGAATAATATAATCAATTGAATCTTTCATTATGAAAATAAAATGAAGTATGTTTTTTAGCAATGTCCTAATGTGGAAGGAATTTTAAAAGTAAAAGTTACTGTGGACCTCATGTAGGTTCCAAATATCCAATCCACATACAACAAAATTTTTTATTCAAAAATAACAAACACGAGGATCACAGATAGTTTTACATTTCCATTTATTTGTGTTGTTGTTGTCATGATCCCCAACACTACACATTAAGTGACAAAACCAAACGTTGCGTTGTGCCATCTTAATGTAAGTTATGTATTCAAAAATGTAAAGTACCTGATGTATGAATGAGACGTCCAGTGAATTAATTTGAATGTCGGATTTAATAACACCAGGAATGGCCGGCTGCTGTGAACAACTGCTGCTTACCTCTGCTGACATTTTTATATTTTGGTGTGATCAAATTCTTAATGATTGTTTAAATAAACAATATTGGGAACATGCCACTCTTTAATATTGTCTGGGCTGTTAGGTTCATTAAGTTTAGTTTTATGTATAATGTACAACTTAATGTACAATCAAGCAATGTCGAATGACTTCAGTCTAAAACCAGATATTAAAGAAATACATCTTTCAATCCATGCAAATTGTAGAGAAGTGCTATTGAAAGTGTGACCCGACAAAAAATCCTAAGAGAAGGACTCTTGACTAAAAATTCTTTGACTATGAAACATACTGATCTTCATAATTGGAATATAAGCTATTGAATAAAAAAAATTTCCTCAGAATTTACATCTTTCACCCACTAA